TCGGAGTAAAGGGCCAAACGAAAGAAAAGATGATATTGTGACCGAATGTAGCATTACTTTATAGCAGCTTTGCATACCCTCACTGGTCTTAATTTGCTTCCTTTCTTCTTTATGTGTAAGTTTTATTAATTTAATCAATAATTTATGTGTCCAGGTTTTGGGTTTTCTTAATGTCCATTTTAGATGTATTTTTGTGGCACTGTTTTGTTAGCCTGGCCAGTCAGACTTGCTCAGACCCTCCAGTCAAAATTAGACCAATCACAGCCCAGGAAACGTTTGTATCAGAATCACCCAAAATGCAACAAAGCTTTTCTGCAACAATAACATGTACGGTAAGTAAGTCTGGCTGACCAGGCTACTGATTTGTATTCATTCTTTGTAACTCTCCAGACCGCATCCATGGTGAGTCTCTTATATAGCTTGAATAATTGTGACCTTCCAGTATCAAGCAATAACTTACATCCAAAACATGTACATCCATTAGAATTTGCTAAGGTAAATCAGAACTTTTTTTTTTGCATTGCTGTTTTGCTTATCTGATGAATAGGTACTTGATATAGTCGTGGTAGAACCAGATAATCACATTCTGCAGACAATGGTCTCAGATTGATGATATCAGCCAAGCTCCAGTGCAGTTGGGAGAATATTTTTCCTTAAAAACATTTAGCGCGAGGCCCAGCATGGAATTCAGCACACAACAAATTATCGGTGGACCTTGAACAGCTGGGCATATGCAAGTTTGTTCAAGTCAACGACTTTACTGACAGCTTGGTGCTATTTTCTCCGAGGTCAAACTGGCTCTCAACTTCCACAAGCAGCTCAAGCAGAGATAACATTTGTCTTTGTCTGACTACTGTATTACCAGTCGAACCACTTAGCGGTTTTCATTGATTTACCACTCTTAAAAGTCTGTTTTTGCGATCCAAGTGCAAAGTAGCTATAACCTGATGAGTATGAGCCACAGTAATGGCTTCAGAAAGTTTGAGAGTGGAGTTTATTTGCAAATAGGGTGCACTAATAGGAATCTACTGAAAAACATTTATTAATTTTTTTTTTTCTCTTCGTCTTATTTGCATCCCTGTCTCATTATTCCATTTTGGTAGCTTTAAGTTGCATTTTCGATCTCTTTGGATTAATTGTTTGATTTATGGAAAGATTCTTTCTTTTCTCAAAAACTGACACATCCTATGCTTAACATACTATAAATGTTTGCACTAAAAGTTATTATTCTGGGATAAACCTTTAGCTGTATACTGTGTTGGGCATGAATGGAATAAAGGGTTGTGTACATAATTATCTGCAGCCGGCCAACCCAAATCGCACCTCCAATGGAAGCTGAAAACCTCCACCAATATGTGTTTTAAATCAGCTGACATAAGCCAGCTATGCTTTCTAAACTCTGCAAGTGACAGCCATAACCAGTCTGGCAACTTCTCTACTGTCCTCCAATCTCCCATCTGCTGCCCACCTGATTCACACCAACTCTCCATCAGCAGCCTGTAAACAGACTCTCTGCTTACAGGCTGCTCTCTGAGCATAAGACGATTTTTATTTCACAACCTTCTTTTTTACTGCTTTATTCTCAAACATAATTTGCAGATATCATTACCCTTATGTGGATATATGCAATTGTGCATTATGTCTTTTTTTATTGATCTATAAACATTCTTAATAGTATTTTATCAAAGCTACATTAGCTGTGAATGTTTATGTATAGATTGCATGTGCTGAAAAGCACACAAATAAATTGAAGCTGTTGTGCAAAATTGGGTCTCTTCATAGCATCTCTGGAGACATTATTTTAAAGAAGGTGGAAAAAACAGAAAAAAGTAAAAAAAACAAAAAAAAAAAAAAAAAAAACAGATGGCCTGAGCTAAAAACTGTAGAAATATCCACACAACAGCAGCTTCTCTCACAAATCTCAGTCCTAGCCTTAGCTTTATTTTAGTCCCCACTTTCCCTCTCATCAAGGTTCCCAACTAAATAATCCAAACATCAGTCCAAACATGTTCAGCTGTGAGATACTGAGCTCACTGAGGGTGTTTATTCTCCTCCCACCTCCAGAAACTCAACATCATCGCTACAGGGGACTATTAACCCAAAGCGTTCAGATGGGTGTATGATCCTAATTAAGCTCATTTGGCTTTAGCTTCTATGGCAGTCTGACCTAAAACTATATAAATGCTACCATGCCATTTTTGCTTTCTTTCTTTTTGTTAGATTTCTTTTTTTCAAGATTTAAGAGTTCATTACCAACAGCACCTGCACACTTTCCTCATGGCAGCTTATGGAGGGAAGCAGCTAAATAGCCTCAAGGGATGAATTAAACAAAAAAGCATTGTTTCCTTGTTTGAATACTGCCCCAGGCAGAGCAAGCTATGAGAGCATAAACCTTCATTTTAATTTTACTTGCATCAATCCAATGAATAATTTACCTTAAAATTGCTGATTTTGCATTTTAATTCATAGTAACATTTAGAAAATATTTTTAGTTGACAAGGACATGCAGTGAAAAAACAAATAAAATGTTACCTTTTAATATAAAATACTTTAAAATTTAAGATAATTTTTTACTACACTGAAATTAGAGTTAAACTGATTGTTATTAATTCAAGTATTTCAATGCACACCTAGAAAGTTGGTGCTATTTGTGCATTACCTCTTTGCAGGACTCAAAGAAAGAAAGAAATTCATCAAAAGAGGACACCAATAACCAACTATACTTTTTTATCACATAGAGCTTCTTGGAAATGTTACAAGTGGCTTTTAGAATAATCTTTTTGCCATTGTGAATGAAAGAACAAAACCTAAACCATTTAACTCTGCGATGGATAGATGTGCACGGCAATGTCAAGCAGAGAGATAGAAAGCTTTAAAGGAGGCCTGTTCTTCTTTTTGTCAATATATTGACCCCCACCTAATAAAACTCTCTGCCTTGCATAAAAGTCTGGTACCATCCCTGCCTGACACAATTTCTTTATGTATTTAAAAAAAATAATTTGCAATGGCTGCTTAGGTTTTATTTTTATTCATGCTAAGTTAAAGAAAAAAAGCAATAAGGTTCAGCATAAATGAGAAGTTATGCTCACCGTCCTTTTACGTACTAATGCCATTCACACAATGAATGGACATGGGTATTTACTCCTATATGGATGATTTATGTTAAAGTTTTAATTTAATAAAATGTTCCTAATACAACCTCTTAAGAACCTCTAGTGCTAACCCTGTAAAACCCTAAAAGGCAAATATATCATTAGTGACTTATACCCATGCACACAAAGAAGATGAGGGTACATTTGTTCATTGCCCTTGTCTTGATATTATGCCAATGCTGCAGGTAAGGTAAACAGAATGAGGAATGCATCCGAGCAAACCATAAAGCCTTACACTTGGCTTCTCGTCTAATGAGCCGTGGACAAAGAGAGAGGAGCAGGAACGGTGACACCGCATCTGCCATGAGTAATGGCTCTGAGCTGAATCTGCTGTGACAGGCCAAGGAAGCTGTCAGAGTGGACTGAAGCCTCATCGTCTGAGAGCATCGTAGTGAGAGCAATGGCTTGCAGCACTAACGCATGTATTTCCAGATGAGTATTTGCGTAAGGACTTATTGCAAAACGACAATCAATACCAGCCACATTAAAACATGGCTTCAAAACCAGACTTAGAACTGATTTCCCTACTATTTGTTTTTAAGACTGCAAAGGAGAGACACTAAGACAACCTTCCTAAAGCAACATCCATCACTAAGATAAAGAGACAGACACAAGCTTTTAATCACAAGCAAATCAGGTGTAAAAACTGGGTCAACATGAAGGTTGGTTGAGGACCCAAATGCAGAGATTAGTTCTTGTAGGTTTAAGTAATCCAAGAATCAAACCCAAAAACCCAGGAGATTTCAGGATAAAACACACATGAGAAACCGATTAACAACAAGGAACCAGCACTGAAGAACTGCACAGGGAGAGTATATATGGCAGACAGAACAAAGACTGGGGTAATGAGCTGATATGGAGCAGGTGTGGATGGAAGTGAATAGAAGGGAGCTAGAGGAAAGGAGACAGACACAAGGGGGCAACAGAGAGTAACTAAAGATTGCTTAAATATGACACAAAATGGAAAATAAACCAAAGATCAACAAAACAGAATTACTTAGATAACTAACAGTCCAAAAGGGGAGAACCATAACAAACTGACAATTTTTAACATATAGGTTACAATTTAGGGTATTTCAAAAGCTTTACATTTCATTAAGGTTATAAACCATCCTTCCATCTATATACCTGCTTCATTTCCTTCCTTAAAGTCTGTGAAAATATAAGCCTTAATATACTTATTTATTAAACAAATACAAAGCGACAGAAAACGTAAATTTAAGCATGACAAATCTGTCGGAAAAATCATTTCTGAATTCTGCTTTTGTGCACATTTGGTATACTGGGTGCAAAATGCAGGCCTGTTATGAACATTAGAGATTTATTTTAATTATCTACTATTAATCAGCCAAATTAACCACCTTTCTACTGAGGAAGTCAACTAAAATAAAACTATCTATACACCTATAAATGTATGAAACACATCCAAATATGCATTTAATGTATTAAAAATATATGAAAGATAGCAGGACACTCGGAAGAGAAGCGGGGCTTGCAGGTTTTGCGGGGCCTTCCCGCACCGGCCGGCGGTGGGCTATACAAATCCTGCTGCACCACCGTGAGGGAAGCTCAAGATGCAGTGCGTGCGGCGCAGAGGGCGCACAGACTGCATCGGTCTGCCTGCCTTTGACGCACAATTCCCATTCAAATTAGGCATAAAAACAATCTCTGCTCTCAGAGATCAACCGCCGCTGATCTATTTAAATCATCATTATGATTAGGAAGATGCCGCATCCAAAGGATGACTACAATATGAATTTAATTATCGACCAAACAAAGAAGGGGGGTGCAGCCATCATTTATTTAAAAGACTGAAATATAAAAAGAAAAGAAGACGCATGAACTCACCGTTTCTGCAATCCGGCTGCAGTTTTCCCTTTTCTTTCAGCATGTGTCTTGATGCTGCTGGGAATGATGAGGTGTGTGCGCTTGTCTTTGGAGGGAGCGTGCCCCTGTTGGTGCGTCCGCCCCCCCCCCTCAGTTCAGCCGCTGCAACAGCAAGCTGTGCGTCTTCACCAGCTCCCCCCGCCGCTGTCACAACCTGCGGCGCAGGAGACGATCTTTGAGCGGAAAGATGGCACACTCCTCTTCGAAAATCAGCGCCTCTCCCTCCGTGGACTTTCTTTTTTTTTTTTGTTTGATTGTTTTTTTTCCCTCTAGCTTTATGCCCTTTCTTACGGAAAAGGATTAGGGACACCAAACAAATAAAAAAGTTGACTGATTTTTTAAATTTCATTTCTGTTTAATATGAGAAAAAAAGTCAGAATTCTGACTTCAATCTCACAATTCTGACTTTTCTCACAATTCTGACTTTAATCTCAGTATTTTAACTTAAATCTCAGAATTCTGACTTAAATCAAAGAATTCTGACCTTAATATTTTGAGTTTTTCTCAGAATTTTGACTTTTTTTTCAGAATTCTGACTTTAATCTCATAATTCTGATTTTAATCTGAAAATTCTGGCTTTAATCTCACAATTCTGACATTAATCAGAATTCTGGCTTTTTTTCTCAGAATTCTGACTTTAATCTCAGAATTTTGACTCTAATCTCATAATTCTGATTTTAATCTGAAATTTCTGACTGTAATCTCAAATTTAAGACTTTTTTTCTGAAGTCTGAATTCTGAGATTAAAGTCAGAATTATGAATTTTTTGTCATATTAAACAGAAATAACATTTAAAAATCTGTTAACTTTTTTTTTTTCAATGGCCCTAACTTTGCTATGAGAGCACTATTTTAGTGAAATTATTTATATGGATATATTTATATTTTTTAATCCTCTGTCTAAGTGCATTCTCTTTGTTTGAATGTAGCCTATTATATGTAGCCTATTCTTTATCAACAGCATTCTTACTTTTAAATTGGGGTTATAAAATACAACAAAAAAACAACTGAATGTTGAAACTGTAACTATACAGTCATGTTTACATTATCACTGCTGCTTACATTGTTATCAAGGAAATGTGTTGAGAGCTGTACTGAACGAAATTTCTTTTTGTATACACTTGTGTGTGCAAAATAACAAATAAAGTCTTAGTCTCTAAGTCTAAAGTCTAAGTCTACTATGAACATCTACAAAGGAGAATTGTTTGTTTATTTATTTACTTCAGACAAAACAGGTACATAGGAATAATATCAGAGTGAGAAGTCTTTAAGTTAAACGATCTTTAGAGAAAGAAAAAAACTGATTGTCAGCATCTACAGCGCCCTCTTCTAATAGGCGGTATAAGTAGGAACTGCTTGGGATCCTAGTAACTTGCAAGGTGGTGGACTCTTGGATATATATATATATATATATATATTTATATCTTTCTTTTATAACATCTAATATTTTATTCTTCAATAACACAGCTCTATTTACAATTATCACTGATGAGAGTGGTCTCTAGAGAGCTGCGCTGCATTAGATAATTTAGCTTTCATATGAAAATCGCAGCATCAAAATCAGAACTAACAGACTCCTCCACTGTTTTCTGGATCAAGTGATAAAAAGATTAGGTACCGTTAGGGAGTTTCACATTACTGTGTAAAAGTTCCCATAGATCAGGGGTCTTCAATGTTTTACAGGCAAGGGACCCCCAAACTTATGTCGAGATGGAGCAGGGACCCCTAATTATATATATTGTGTGGAATTGTGTTATATTAAACTGGTCCTATGGTCACTATTACATATCGAGTAATGTAACAAAAGTAGATATTAAAGTATTTCTGATTCTGATTCCTTGTTGATAGGACAGGTGTTGTGAATGAAACGGTGCCCAGCTTTGAAAGAGCTTCTGTGTGTCGCTGAATGTGTGCATTGAAGACATCTTCTGCCTCCAATTATCCGTTTAATACAGTTTGTTAAATTCATGTTAATGTGCATTCAAAGACATTTCAATTAGTGGAAAAAAATGCAAAAAATATATATATATATAAAGTCTAATCAACCAAAACTTTGGCGACCCCCATGCAGTGCCTCCGTGGACCCCCTGTTGAAGTCCTCCATCATTGAGAATGGCCTGCAATGGAAGGGGTAAATCGAGCTAAACATGAATTTCAATAAATGATGCTGATGACTAAATGTTGCTATTATACAACCCAAATCAAATGTTTATTAATGTAACTTCGGGCACAATTGTTGTTTTTGTGTGTGGACAAAAATGGGACAAAACTTGCTGGTGTATAATAATATAGCTGGTGCTATATTTACACTATCATTAATGATAGTGAAAGGTTCCACTACCAGCTCATTTCATCTTCACAGATCTCAATGAATCTTGTTAGACAGAGGCCACGTATTAAAGGTTTAGTGGAGGATGTTCTTTTTCTGGGTGGATCATCAAAATAAGTGGTCCTCCGAACTGTCAGTCATTCTGGTGATATGTTTACGTTAGGCCGTCCTACGTGTTCATCCCTGTTTTCACTTACTGGTGGCGACTATGGCATAGTGGAAAAATTGCAAATCTTCGTTTTGAAAGTAAGCTTGTATGAGCGATGCAAGCAGGAACTTTTAAACAGCATGCACGAGGAGAAATAGTACACACTCTTGCACGTGTTTAATAGCCATTTCCTCTCAGGTGTGGTAACAGGGTTCTGCATCTTTTTTTAAGTGGTCTTTTCAAAAATGTGCAAAAATCCTGCACTATACCTTTAAGATTTCTTGGGACCGGCTTGTTGTTTTATTTTTATGCTGTTTGTATGTGATTTTATGCCAGTCTTTTTACTTGATCATATCCACCACCCCCAACACCCCACCCCTATATAGCGGTCCGTGCTGCAAAAAAGGTTGGGGACCGCTGATTTAACAGACGATTCATCAATTTGGCTGATTCCACAATGTTTATCTGTCGTTTTCTTTATAAAAAATGGAGGAAACGACCCAAAAAGCACATCACTAAAGACAAATAATATAGATAAGCTACTGGGAACAGAAAAGGATTCAGCTGGAGATCTCTACATCAACTATGGCCGTTTACAAAATAATAAACTAACTCCATTGAGCACACACCAGCTCCCAGGCTGTAACTTTGCTTTATCTTTTACCTACATCTGACTGTTGAGTGATAAGGCTGTAATGTTTCCAAAGCCAGCCTGTTGGAGCCATGAGCACAAGCAGCGTTGATGCAGGTCAAATAGGATGCGTTTGTGTGTGCAGGTGTGACCCCGGACCAACCGACTGGCACGGAGGTGCCAAGCTCCACACCACTGTGCAAATGTTTCTGCTCAGACAGGAGACGAGATGGCGGCCACATGTTTTTCTTGCAGACATGCCATCCAAGTGTTACACACTCTCTGAAGAGGAGCCTCCACCTTAGCCAAACCTTCGGCAGACGCTGCATGTAACAAAAAATAAATCACTCGAGACAAAACACTGACTTTCACCACGGCTGAACATTTATTGGATCCCCTCCAGGTTTTCTCAGGAGTTAGCTTGTTTAAAGAAAGAAAAAAGATAAATCAGGATGAGCCCATGTTGCTTTGACACTCAGCAGACTTTAGCTTGTTTACTCAGCAGCCACCTTAGCTTCAGTTGATAAACACGGACGATAAGCAGCCTTCAGTCTTCCTCAACATTAATATGAGCTTTATCTCAGAGGTTATCTGAAAATTACTTGGTTAAGAGGATTGGGACAATCAGGAATAAATGCATTTACTTAACAGGTTTCAAACTGATAGGGGTTTATCGCAGAAGCCGAGATGGCGATATGTTTAACTTTCACTCCTGTTACATTTATTAATGATATTTTGTCACACTATAAACCCAAATTTTTACAAATTTTGTCATAATTTAGTCCGACAGAGGATGAAGAATGCGACTAAGGCCGACAGTATACAACCCTTACAGTACAACATGGCGATTGGCATCTTCATAACTTATGGAAGCTGATCAAAAATAGATTAAACAACATATTTCAATCTCTATACCAACCTTTTGGAGGCTCCTCAGGACCTGAGATATCTTCACATTTTGGATAAAGAAGACAGGTGATTTGAAAGGGGTGATATTTTTAGACTGCTTAGTAAATGCAAATATATTCAAGAATGGACAATTTGATTAGTCGGGGTGCATAAACATAAAATTTTTTTCAGTGTAAATAATTAAGAGGGAAAGTATTTTTGTTGAAATGGGTATGTAAGGCGTTTTTGTGGTTTTTCTTTGTTTTTTCTGTAAACAAATTACAATGTTTGATTATCCTTTTTGCTCACTGTATATAGCTGCACCTATTCCTTTAAATTGAATTTTCTAATAAAAAAGATTAAAAAAAAGGCAGCCATTTATTTTAAGAAAGTTGAACAGAGGGGGTGGATTCAGGTTTCAGCTCTCAAAAACCTACAAAGCAGCAATAAAGGTGATTCCTCCCCACAAAACAAAACATCTCGCCTGGATAGCCAAGCCAACAACTGCCCCTAAAGCCCCCCTTTCAGAGGCATAGCCAAGTATCGGGTATTGCAAGCTAACAAAGAACCCAAAAACGACTCTAATTTTCTAAGGGGCGACCCCGTTCTTTTGGTTCAATTTGTACGTTTTCTAAGCCAAAATAAGTTTTTGGGCTACTATATTTAATGCTTTGAATTTAACGCCAATTCTGACATTTTTAATTGAAAAAGCTTCGTGGATGGGAAGCGAAATGTCTTCAAACTTAGAAACCAAGTCCAGTGGATTGTTTTTTAAATTTTTTGGAATGACTTTCAGATTAGGTGTAGATTCAGTTCAAAGCATACAGAGTCCCAATGGATATGTTTACAATAAATTAAGTAAAGCTTGGGTTACATCTAAATGAGATTCATTTTAAGGTCTTTTATAGTAAAAAGTGGGTAAAAATTTAAGCTTCAAAAATTGCAACTCAAGTTTGTGGTTCTAACTTGACAACAGTGCCTGTAAGGATGCAGAAATGTTCTGCAGTTAGATGGGAGAGGAACAGAATGAAATGCAATATAGTTTTGTTTTCGTTATCAAGATGAAAGCAAAACAAGAGTATATCAGATGCCGGATTTGCATGATAAATCTGGCTGACAAAATTCCACTTGCAGAAACAAAACATACCGCAGCAGACCGGCTGCGAGTCGTTTCTGCCAGATCGGGGACAATTATAGGCAAGCGTGGGTACACAGAGAATACTGTAAATAAGAAAGACTTACATCAGTTGCTAGGGAACGCCATTGGACCATACAATCCTAACCCTGCTTGAAGAGGAGGTGGTAAGGAGACAGACAGGTCCTAGCACAATAAGCAACGAATGGTGCAGAGATACAAGATGCATCAACATACTTCTCTTCGCATAAACGATAGAAGTTTAATTTGTGCAATCCTAAAGCATATATGTTTATCTTTTTCTTTTCCACTTTAGGCTATCAACTATTTATTCATAAAATATAAATACTTAATAAAACTAAATTAAACATTTCACAAGCATTTATATGAAATCATAACAATCTTGTTTGGTTTTTTTTACAGAGAGAAGAGAGTTGCATCTACATTTATCTACATAGAAATACATTCTAAAATGAAATAGCATTAAAAATGAATAGTATTTCATTCTTAAGGATTTTTTTAATCTAAAATGTTGTATTTGAAGTATTAAATGATTATACAACAGTAAAAAAAATAAAATAAACAGCGGAAAAGGGTTCAAATTTAAGCAGGTCAGAGTAATAGACCTGTGTGGTGTAACAACAGGCTGTTATATCTCTGACCTTTACAAAGGGATCAGAAGTTAGGATTTAGACCAGACTACTCTGAAGATATACTTGATATAATGCACTTTTTTTTGTACGCATAAAAAAAGACCCTTAATATGCTGCCATCATGTTCCTGACCTTGTTGCATCCAAAAACAATCGACCTGGAAAATTAAAGTTTATTTTAACAGACCTTAGCCTGTAGTATTAATTAAATATGCATATTGTTGTTAAATAATGACTTATATATGTTTAGGTGAAATGTTTAATATATATCGTGCAATGAAGTAGTGGCAAAGTAACATTTTCACCATTACATCAGTCTAAAAGCATTTAGAATGCTGAGGTCAGTGATCCTTTATTGGTACAGACAGAATAGGCTTAGGGAAGTAAGAGATTAAGTGGCATTGTTTAGTCATTGCTTTAACATTCAGAGTTTTAAAGAAATATAAGGATTCCAACTATATTTAAGGAGGTTTTGATTTTTTTTTTTTTTAGACATTATTGTGAACCTTAGGGACCAAGTAGGACAGAAAAATATCGTAGATTTTCCACATGCAGACCAGGTATTGTTACAGCAACATTTTCCAAGTAGGAAAACATAAAACTAATAGAAGGAATAATGAAAGACACCTTCAGATTTTAGCAGTTGTAGTTAGGGCCAAATGTTGCTCTGTCACCAACAGCAGCATTTGGACAAATAACACAGTAAAGTCAATCAATAATAAGCAGAGAATCTGACGTTGCTTAAAGAAAAGGCAATTCATCCCAGGAAGAGAGCCAGCATTGTAGAGTATAGACTTTATTGTGTGTGTCCAACATAAGCAACAGTTCAACACAGCAAAGGCAAGAAGTGGAAAACCTTTTATAACAAGTTTTATTTTATTCCTGACATTTTCTATCGCTTTCAAATCCTGTTAAGGACTAAAGAAGGAAGGAATCACAACAGTTAGGGTTTTATCACGTTAAACATGCTCATATTATGGAGACTTTATATAATAATGGGCAATAAGTTGATGCTTTAAGCAGAATAAACAGGCTTTGTAAGGATTAGAACTACATAAGCAAGTTGATTTCTCTGTCCTAAAAATTAGAAAGAGGAACGGATTGTTTCACATAGGAATAAATGTTCTCTCTAGGATTAAAAAAAAAGGTAATCCTACAAAGTGCACAAGTTTTCTTGTTTCTGTTGTACAGTGTTAATAATAGGCAGTCACGTTTCATTTCCCAATGTGCAATTACATATTTATTACACCGTAATGTATTCAAGTTAACAAGGAAGCATGCAAACATCACTTTCAGGTAGAGATTCACTGATCTAGCTCTTCTTGGCAAATATCTACTTGCAGTTTTCTTTGAGGTCCAACCTTCCCATTACAAAGTCTTTCCTGATTGGACTCTCAGGTAAACAAAATGTGCTGTCTGGTCCTGTGACAGTCTTTAGAATGTAAATATTTCTCAGTTTCTGATTGGAGCATCTCTGTTTTCAGGCATTGGTTTAGCGAATGTCCACTTGTAAAAATAGACGTTCTACGTCTAGATATTGGGCTATGAACATGTTTCTCACCCATTTTTCATGTTCAAATTCATGTGCAGTGATAATTTTTTTTGTTTAGAAATCGACACTTTTTAAAACCTTAAATCAGCCAGACATAAAATAATCCGTTTTTTCTTTTCAACAAAGAATCATAGAAAACAATTTAACACTGTTTCTGTCACACTGATAAAATACTAATAAATAAACAGCTTTTAGTGTTGGGTTAATATTAGGTATCATCCCATGTAAACTTCTAGGAATTTATTTAATTCCACTCAAAAATGTGCCACAAATGCATGTTTTACCTATAAACTGCTCACAGTTTGGATAAGAAAGGGATTCCCTCGTACATGTCGGCTTTCAGCTTGCCCCACTCCGCCAGCCTCTGGATGACGCCCTTCTCCTGGCCCAGCACACTGGCCGCCTTCTTAAGTTTGGCCTCGTTGCGCTCGAGGTAACGCTCCCCTTCCCCTTTGAGGAGGTTCAGCTTCTCCTGGCGGCTTTCGTTTAATGGCACGTCCTCGCTCATGTAGGGGTTGAAACGGAAGTAGGTATCTGGCGGCAGGAGGGCGTCCAGCATAGTGTGCACCTCTGAAATGAGACATTCATAGTAAAACTACACCAAGGTTCACCTATAGAACTGAATTCTATACTAATTCTATAATTTTTTTTTGTATTTTCTAAGCCAACGCAAAGTTAACATTATTGTACTAGATTCATTTGAGAGCACACTAAGCTAAACATATTAACATTTTTAGCCACCTGACAGGCAGTGTGCAGCAGCAGGTTGGGGAGAAGCTATACTTTAGCTGGAATACCTCCCATCCTTCAGCAGTGATCATAGCCCAATTTACACTACCCTTTTAAAACCGTGCGGAGATCGGTCCCAGCACGGTAACCATTATAAATCTTTGGGGTAAAAGGTGCGCAAAACTGAACCGGACCGTGCCAGACACAACAGAATCCCGCACTAACATGGTACTAGTTCATCAGTAGGGCTCGGCGCGGGTAAGTTCTGGCACGGTTGTCAGATAACATGAGCAGACTGCATTATCTCCTTACAGTCAGTCTCCGTAATCAGGAACTTTCAGACATTCAGAACTTTCGTAAAAATACTAGCTTCCCAACCGTGCCACACGATTTCCAGTGACAATTCTGCTTAACAGTGTGATGATCCTCAATGTCTGTCGTTGTTTCCTGCGTCTGTCAGCCCTGATTAGACTATTGTTTGTCGTATTCACTTCCCAAAAGTCGACTGTCAAGTAAATTCACCAAAGGCTGCCTTCTTCGCCTGACTCTCCGCAAACAACAAAATATCACAATGAAAAAAAAACATAACTTTCTGAATGTTACGGGAGCCGCGCTGTTGCTGGTTTACCTCTAGAGAGCAGTAGTACCGTAGATTGCAACTAGGGGGCGAGGAACTGTGCTAGCGTGGTTTGTAAATGGTCGTAAGGAACATAGCTCAGCTTGGTTAACTGATCAAAGCTCGGCATGGATCGGTTTACAGAAGGTAGCGTATATGGGGCTATAGATTCCAATACAAGAAGTTAGATACTGATTGGTCGTACCTTCCGTATCTGTGGCACTGCTGATGACGTGAGCCAGCTTAGTCTTCAAGCTGGTGTAGCTCACGCTGTTCTTGCCCACGGTCTCGTACCGTCCCGTTCCCAGAGACAACACGCACTGCAGGGGTGTATTGGGCCACAGGCACTTGCACTCGTGAATGGCCAAAGCGGTTGGGTTGTTGATGAGAAGTCCTCCGTCCTTAAGAGGCAGAATAGAGATTAAAGTGAAGAATGGATGTTTGGTTTAAAAACATCAGTTGAGGCAGATTTCTGAGGACAAACGAGGTGAAGCGGACACGCCGTCACGGAGCGAGACACTGCTTTGGGTCGGAGATGTGCAACTCTGACGAAAATCAGCTCAACCAGAAGTAAACAAGCTCCCTAAAGCTTGTCAGAAATGACTTAATCACACAGCTGTGTTACTCTAAATTCAACTCGACTCATAAATCGAATTTCTTCCCCGCGACTGCTTGACTGCTTGGAGTGAAACAAAAATGAGGACTCCAAATAAAAGGCTGGACAGATTTAGCACTTTGGCCTTATCCAAGTCTTTCCCCAAATTCATGCCAGGAACTTATTTCCCAGAGACCCGACACACTTCTGATTGAAATCAGATAGACTACAGCTGTGAGGACTTATCTTCCTCTGCCCAGCAGGGGAAAAAAAACAACCTCCATGCCTTTAAAGGTGAAGTAGGGGAGGTTTGTGACTTTTAACACACTGGGTCATGATCTCAGTCTGCAGGAGCTTAAAAACACTGTGATCCTGTGGTGCAATGAGACCCATAGTCGGCTCATTTATCCAATTTTTAATCGTTAATCACTCTGTGACAATAACACTATAACAAACACTTATCCAGTGTTCGTGACAAATGATTGGATAATGGAAAAACAGACAAATGTACACACAGATGGATATAAGCATGACAAATAGCCCAGCCAGCTTCGTCCCAGCTAAACCTTTATTTTTCCTTTCTTTATGTAAAGAAAAATTTTGACTTTTACAGCAAAACTTGCCATTTTTAGAAGACTTCTATCAACTACTGTATCTGATGCTGTATTAGTCATTGCATGTGTTTTTTTTGTGTGTCCATGTGGGTATTTTGGGTGTTTAGATTTCCTGCAGTGCCATAAATCTCCTGAATAATAACTCTGCTAGGTGCTGAAAGGTAAATGTAAGCTTAACCTGAACAGCAGCACAAGCACAACTTATCCATCTCCAACTTTTCATGCTAGTTGTCGTCCGGGAGCAACGGCAGCCATGTGCAAACAGGAAACAAGATAAAAAGTTGTTATACTAAGAATGAGGTGCAGGGTATGGGTTCTTCTTGAAAATGTTTAAGGGAAAAACAAGAGATTAGGATCATTTATCGACCCGAAAATAATCAGCATTTGCTTTAGGAAACAGCCGAAAGAGGCGATGGGGACCAAACTAATTTAGCTTAAGTAGGTTATCAAAAAAGAAGCTAAGCCTGCAGCCTAATTGCTCTCTAAAAGGAGCAGCTAAAGATATCTGGCCTAATAATCAAACTCCATAGAATGATACCAGTCTGTTTGGGCAGCTCCCTGAAGGCATAAACACACTTTGACTAGGAAGGAAGAAAAGACATACATGGTACCCCGAAAATTTATTATTTTGCTAAAACCAAAGCCTTTGTTTCTTCATTGGGATTATAAGTGAATGCATTCCTGTTCACTCTCCCTTTAAAGCACTACCAAAATAAATACAGTTAACTTGTTGAATCTTATTCTAACATGTGAAACCCTCCGATTTGTTAAAAAGCTAATGGCACTCACAATACTGACTACTACTGCTTAAAACATGGTAGTAGCAGCATCATGCTGTGGGCAGGTTTTTCTTCTGCAGAAGCAGGGAGGCAGGTTCAAGAAAAGATGGATGGGGCTCTGGGTACTACATAGTAATAAGACATTTATTACTCACATTTGTCTGCAGAAGACTAATACACAGAAGGCCTGGTTTACATGGAATATGCTTCCAAAGGTTGAATGTTTTTATCTCTTTTTCTTTCTTTTTTTGAAAGAAAACTACTTTTATAGTTAATAAAATAAATCTATATCTTAGAAAATCTGACGTCTCTAGATAAGTGGTTTCATCCATTCCTGAATGGATGCTGCTTGTAAAAGCTGTTTATCCCTTTCACTAATGCATAATTTCCTAGCGCGTTTTGTATTAATGTTCTTGGATAAAACATTCTGAACGACATGCTTCTTTAGCATGTGGTTTAAAGGGAGTCAATGACTGTCTTCTGGACATCTGTACAGTCAGCAGTCTTTCCCATAATGGCGTAACCCACTGATCCAGACAATGAGATCATTTAGGGGAATAGGTGAACTAGTTTTCCATTTAGGACGTGATGACTTGAGTTTCACCCTTTAATGTTTGCCAATAATCAAATTTGCAAGAAAACTACGTTATAATTTCAATTATCTATACAGCATTATCATTTAAATTACAATAAATTGTGAATTTGTGACCAAAAATGTTTATTTAAAATATATGACTTTCACTTCCTGAAATGATTAGGAATATTTTTCAGATGTACCTTTAAACATTGATCTTCTACTTGGTGTTGTTGCAGGTTTGAGTCCAGATAAAAGTTAGCTAATCTTTATAAAATAGAACCAGAATATCTTTATGTATAAAAAAAGATAAAACTAAATAAAATCATATTTTTTCAAAGGTTTGGGCCATTTATTATTTCCTTAGAGCTGGACTAAACCTTGTCGACCTGTCTACCAGCTCCGTGCTGTACCTGATGAAGGTCTTTTCCCAGAACAAATTCCTGAAAGTATCCGGGGGCGGCAGACGAGGCCCGGATGGCCTGCCACATCTTGTGTTTGCAGTCTCCAAGGTAGTGTGACCTTACACCAGGCATGAGTCTGTAGTTCCTGAACACGTAGGCCTTCAGTGGCAGCCCTCTGTTGACTATGGTGCTCACTGCTGCCACCTTGTGGACAAACACAAAAAGTAAAAGAAAAATGATCATACTAAGATCACAGGAAATATAGATGTATGTCAGTTGATGACAATCAGTTATAAATACTAAAACAATAAAAAAAATGTGAACTTTAGAAAAAAAACACTTACTTTCGGGCAGCATGGGTCCCTCGAACTCTCAATCATACGTCCCTCACCCATACGTTCTCTAAAAGAAGAAAAATAAAATCACAAATAAGAAACAGGTATATAAACTTTCCCTCCAATTAAGAATAATCAACTGTTAGGAAACTAAAACATAAGACTAACTTGAGGATGCCTTCCCACATTTCGCTGTCGTAGAAAGCATGGCTCCAGCCCATCTTCATGGTTCCAACAATGACGTTCTGTTTGAAGATGTCTGTACCCAGTTTCCTGTACATATCCTCGCACTCTTCCAAGGGGATCTGGAAAATCCCCAGCATGAAGGCCAAAATGGCCCCTTTTCCAAAAATAATGACAATAAGAATGTTAGAGCACACAGGATGACATCTGGTCGTTCTTGATTGGATGTTGGATCGACGCGTCGCATAAATTGGAGCAGCTTACCTGTACTGACTCCGCAGATGTAGTCGAAGAGCTGATGGATTCGTTTTCCAGTCAGTTCTTCCAGTTTATGAAGAGTCTGCAGGGCAAGCAGTCCTCTGTAACGCAAATGCAAACCTTAGGGCCTTGTAACACCTTGCCGATATAGCCAGCATATGCCTGACGTCCCAGAATCTTCTAAAACTCTGACATACGCTTAACTTTCTATGTATTTTTTCAATTTTGGGCATATACTTTAGAGCGTTTTTGCAAGATTTATCGTACGTCAGGCATACGCTCACTAAATCTTCAAGGTGTGAGAGGGGCTTTACGTCTCAAAAGGTTAACAAACGTTATATTTCAGCCAATATAGGAGAGCAAAAGCCTTTTGCCCCTTTAATAAAAATGATTAACTATTACAAAGAAAGCAGTTTTTTTTGTCTGTGCCAACATCTAATTAGGAATACATCGTCAGGCATATTTATAAATAAATGCTTCTTTACCAATAAGGTGGTACTTATTCTTCTTTTACAAGCTAGGAATTGCACAGGAGGCTAATATGTCCATAGAAGAAGATTCATTTTGTGTATTGAACACTTAAAAAATAATGCAACCGCTTTTGGCTTTTACTTAACTTAACACCTAACATGAAACTATTGTGTTAAAGTAACTAAATATGATTAAGTAAATGCAAAAAAATGGTTGCATTCTTTTTTTTCAGTGAATGAGCTACATATTCACCACACAGTTAAACGATCAGATGATGTTGGTTTTTATTTTTAAGCCACTGACATTTTTTATTAATTTAAATGTCATTTAATTTCAAATACTTCTTTGTACAATTATGTACTTTTAACACTATTTCAGAACAGCCATAACCATAAAGGTTAAAATCATCACCAAGTTACAGTTAGTTCAGGGTTTATGCAGGAAGGAGGAACTCTAATTTTACTTTCTAATGCTGTTTGAATTTTCCCATTCTCTATCTTTTTCTGTGCTTCAAGCTTTTGTTTCGAACAAACGGCTTTAGGATCAACCAGGAGCAGTTCCACGCAAACCAGTTAAATCTGATATAGCTGACAAAACTTCTTTTTTTTTTTATAAAGCATTTTAAATGCCATGATAACCACATTTAATGAATTTTAATGCCAATTAAGGCCTTAATTTGAAAAAATAATAATTTAATGACTTTTAATGATTTTTAATGACCCGCAGAAACCCTGTAGTTTTAAAAGGTAAGAATTCCAGGCTATCTTTAGAGGTTCGGCACCACCAGGAATTCAAAATCAACCATGAAAGCATTTTCCTAATAAACTGAAGTAAGGATTGGGTTGTTCTACATTTCACACAGTGTTATTATGCAGCTGCATTAAAAAAATTATATTATTCTAAATAATTTTCCATGTATATTGCTTAGAATTAGTAGGTATTATTTCAGTTTGGATTTTAAGAAAGGTGTTGGAAAGAAGAGGTTTAGGAAAGTGAGAATCTAGGTAAAAAGAAATTGTTAACCTTGTGCCTCCTCCATCTATGGCTAGCACCCTAATTCCTCTGCCTTTGACTGGATCTGTGTAGCCAACCAGCGCCAGAGCTTCTCTAACAGCTGCCTGAAGGGGAAGATCCCTGGCCTGACGGAGCCGCAGCAGACAGGGCAGCAAGTTCTCCTAAAAGACACAACAATTAGAGAGCATGAAGAAAAATGCCTTTAAAGCCAGCAGCCATCTGGTTGTAAAGCAAACTGCAGGAAATTAATTAAAAAAAGAAAGGTTTTAGTCAAGCCTTACCTGAACTGCCACTCCTCGGGTCTCTGGAAACTCCAGGAGGTGAAAGCTGAGCTCTCCGACTCGAGTGGTGAGGAGTTCCACATCAGACACCCTCTGCAGACCCTTTACCAGGGCTCTGGTCCTGTTGTCTACGCTCACTCTGGCGATTATCTAAATGAAACATTATCAACAAAGTAAAAAATGTTTTAAACAGATAAGAATAAAAGACCAAAGGTTTATGCTGAAACTAATAGTTAAAGGTATAAAGGAACATGTTCTTTTTCAGGTTGGATCATCAAAATAAGTGGTCCGCCTACTTGTCAATCATTCTATGTTTACGTCCTACTTGCTCGTCCCCATTTTCACGTGGTGAGTCTGACATAGTGGAAAAATTGCAAATCTTCTTTTAGAACGTAAGCTTGTATGAGCGATGCAAATAACTATTAAACAGAGCGTGCACGAGGAGAAATGGGCTCGTGCACGCTCTCGCACGCGCTAAATAGGCATTCGTCAGCGGATAGAGGGTTGTGGATGTGCATTTTTTTTTTTTAAGTAGAGAGGACAGGTCTTTTAAAGAAATTCTCGAAAATCCTCCAATATAACTTTAACTCTAAAATATAACTCCTGAAAAATAAATTAAGAACTTACAAAGTCAGCTATTTCATTTTTATTTTTATTTTCTTTAATATTGAAGTTTTTAAATAGCTTTTGCATATTTAAAGAATCATAATGCTGTTACTGAATGTCACCCTCAGCACATTATTCCTACTGTTAAACATGGAAGATAGCTAAACGGGAAGAATTAGATCGAACTATTATTCATCTGTTAGTATGACCCAATTGAAGTAAAGATTTAAATCCTACTTAAATAAAGAAAATTGGAATATCTTCATTGATTACGTGGTACATAACAGGCTTTAACATTAAGTTCCCACCTTTTCTCTTTGACTTAGAAGCTGCTGTTTTGCCTTCTCGGCTTTGTCTTCTTCACCATCTGTCTTCTCCACTCCTTTGTCTACCACGTGTTCAGCCAAACCGTCTGTGGAAGACTTCTCTTTTTCCACCGCCAGCTTTTTCTGGTCACCTCGAAGCCTTGGAACCAGGGGAACAATGTAGCTTCCAACGAAGGCCTGGACGCTGGGCCCGGGGTAGGACAGGTAGTGGGTGAAGCCTTTTTTAGGGGTGGTACTCGTTTCAGGGACAGATTGGGCTGTGTTTTCAGTGGCTGGGGTCACAGAGGATGGGATCTCTGTGGACGGACTGGGTTTTAGTGAAAGTGGCGAGGACGGAGGGCTTTCAGGAGCAATTTTCTCTGAAACTGGAGACAAAACTGGAATGTGATCTGCTGTTCTCTGGGTGGTGACCTGAGGAAGTGGCTTAGAAACATGCTGCTGCTGTCTGTTCTCTCCATCTTCTCCTTGTGTGTTTGGGCCAAAGTAGCTGTTTATATGGTTGGACAGACTCTTGTAAGTTTCATCCATGTTTGTGGACAGAGCTGCTGGGTGGAACAGCTGCATGGTTTGCTTTGCCACGGTTGTAGAAGAGTTAATTCCAGGTGTGTCTGTTGCAGAAGCTAAAGCAGAAGACGACTTTTTGGCTGCAACAAAAGGCTTTTCTCTAACTTGTTCCTTCTGCTTATCGGTTTCCTCCACTTCTCCATTTTCGCCACTCGTCTTTTCCTTCATTCTTCCAGAAACGCTGTCAGTAGAAGTCAAGGTCTCAACTTTGGGCAGAGCTTTTTCAGCATGGGCTCCGTCAGCTGTAGCGCCGCCAGGCTTGAAGCGGGAGAACCTGGAGATGAGGTCTGCGCCTCCCACTGCCTTGGTTACGCTGTCGATTGTGGACCTGAGCCGCGACATGCGTCTGAGGATCCGCTGGGAACATTAGTGAAGAAGAGACTGAAGAAAAGAGGAAAGGCTAAAACGTTTGTCTGGAATGAAGAAGCATCCTGTTATCTTGCATGGCGTAGAGATGCTTTTGTTCCATCTTCAAAAGGAACTGTTATTTGGAAGTAACAACTTTCCTGCAGTCTCCACTTCCTGAAACAAAAACAGAAAGTAGATTTAAACACTTTTGTTTTTGTGGAAGAAAACCAGGGTACCCTGAAAGTAATACCTGAAGAGCATGCAAAGTCATTGGAGAAATACCCCAGAGGAATTGAACCAAGGACCTTTTTATTGCAAGTCAACAGTGCTGCAAACTGCACCACTGAGCTGCTGTATTTAAGAAATTATGTTTAAATATACGTTCATCTCAATGATAAACATCATTAAAATGGAAAAGTAACTCAATGTAAAATTAAGTAAAAAAATAGTGTATGTAAACTGTTCAATAATGCAATTAGTTAGGTTAAGGTTATTAAAAATCTAATTGTATGGAACCTTAGACATCTGATTGTTTAGTTTTACACAAATAACCCAGCAGAGGACTTTGTATTGGATTCTTTGTCATTCTACATTAGGGTTTAATTTTGTAATAACAGCTTTTGGCCACTAGGTGGCTCTCTTCGACTTTCCCTTGCTTTAGTAACCATAGGAACCGCCTTAGCAACCAAAACAAGATGGAGCGAAATTCATGTGAAATGAACGAAAAAGCAGAGTTCTCCGTACTCATTAAGGTCTTACAGGAGGAGAGACTTCGCGAAAAAAAGGAGGAAGTTGATAATGCTTCTCTTTTTACGTCGGACAACATTGAATGGGCCACATGCAAAGGCTTCAATATCGAAGTGGGAAAGCAGCAGATCGAGGCGTACATCAAGACCTGGGAGATTCGGCCCTGTTGGATCTACAGCATAGAGTTTTTCCGCACAGGACAAGAGGATGGCTTTACAATCTACCTCTACGAAGTCATCTTAATGGCACCAACGAGCAGAAAACCGATCTCGGAAAGAGTCAGCGTTTACTTCGCGGCTGAAATATCGAAAGAGGAGGCCGAAACTCGACCGGTGAAGGTCCGATTCATACTGGAGTCCTGCAGGGTTATACATACTCCAGGGAAGAACAGGTTCAACGAGAAGTGGCTGACGAACATCACCGAAACTAAAGCTTTATGGCAAAAAATGATGGACTTCTGACTCAGAGCCTTGGTGTTATATAACAGCCACTGTATGGACTTTGTCCTTCTTTCTTCAATCTGAGCAGAAACAAATATAATCCCATTAAAATATAAAGCTATGTTTGAGTAAAGTGTCATGACAGATTGACGCCTGAGAGATAACTTCGGAGATGAAAAGAATAAGGATATGTTTACTCGGTCATTCAAACCATCGTAATGAATAACTTTGTGTAACTCCTCTAAAATATATTAGTCAAATGATATAAACAATCTATCTTCTTACCCGATTAAAGAAAAAAATGGTTGCAGGAGTATTTTATTGATTGTAAAGATGGTAGATTTTGCTCCTACCGATGCTAGCTGTGAAATGGTAAACAGGAAATGGAACCCTTCTTCTTCTTCTTGTGTTTTTTATTGGCGGATGGTAACCAACTTAAGTTACATTTACCGCCACCTACCAGACTGGAGTGTGGTTATCAATGATGTCAGAGGAAAGAAAATTTTTTATTTTATTTTATTTATTTTCAAAACAATTTTATTTTTTTCTGCAAATAACATTACAGAGCAACCATATTGCACTATAGGTATTCTTAATAACCATTTTTTACAGACGTTTTCAACAGGTGTAAATGTAGATGTTTACCAGTCAAGTAAACAGTCAAGTCATCGTTTTGTGCAAAACAAGAAACAGAAAGGAAGAAAGACAAAAAAATAAAATAAAATAGTACATCTATAAATAAAAGTTAACGCTAGGGGGAAACAGCTGTCTAAATAAGAAGATTAAAAAGGACAAAGGCTTCTCGAGTTTTGATTGCTTTCTTATTTTCTGATAATTGTATGGTGTCAATGTATTGTTTGAGTTCATGCTTAAAAGCAGTAATGCACGGTTTGGAGCCTCAGAGGAAAGTTATTAATACATACCTCAATGGTATGCACGAATCTGCATAATATCTATCAATCAACATCCATACATATTCACATATAAATTAGTATGTGTATATGCACATGCGTACACACACTTATATTCTAATTTTAAATACGATTAAATAATACAGTAATACAGTAATAATACAATAATAAAGAATAAAGTCAACTGATTTCTATCAGAATTAGATTTACTTCCTAAAAGGTTTATTATTGAAAATCATATTTTTCTCTATTTAGTGTTGACTTTAAGTGCTGACGTTCCTGTGAATACTTATTACATTCTAATAATACACGTTCCACTGTTTCCATCTGATTACTGTAATTACAAGTCTCTGTTTCACGCTTCCCTTTTTTGAAAAGAGAAATATTAAGTCCAATACGACTACCTCTTCTTTCCTCCTTTCATTTGTACAACTATTACCCCCCACAGCATTTTGAATTTTATAAAAAAATCTCTACCAGTGTCATTATTATTCCATTGTTCCTACCAAACCTTACAGATTTTATTCTGAATTATAGATTTACCCTCAGTTTTGCTTAAAAGAATACTTAAGTTAATAATATCTGATTTTAAGGCCTGTTTAGCTAATATATCTACTTCTTCATTTCCTTCAATCCCTACATGAGCAGGAATCCTGACAAATTGAACAAAACATTTCTTATTATGAAGCTGAACTAATAGGTGATATATATCTAATAATAAATGTAATTTACAAGACTTGCCCGATTTGATACTTAATAATGTAGCTTGACTATCTGATGCAAGAACTTCGACAGGCATTTTAACAGCCTCACTACTGAGTCAAGATGTGGGAGTTTGTAGGAGAGTTACAGTCAGTTGGATAGAGTTTGGATATATTCTAAGAATAGATTGGTTGGAAAAACAACCAATCTAGTTGGTTAAAACTCAAAATCTGAACAAGCCATTGGACACAGTAGTGTGAAGTAATATTGCTGTCTGTTTCTAAAGGTTACCAATGGCCAATGTTGGTGATGTCTGCAGTAAGACATTGTCTTTCACTTCTGAGGTCGATGGTTCAAGAACCAACTTAGACTTTTGAAGTTTGAGATTATGCTTTAGTATTTTGGCTAATGTGACTAATGTATTGGTAAAAATATAGATTGAGTAAAAACACTGCCAAATTCAATTAGCTCGTTTAGCCAAAAGATTGGTGGAACATATAACTTCCAACCCGATTAAAACCAAAAAACGTGCAAAAACTATCATGTTTGAATAAAAATGACTTTCATTTTGCTCATCATTGCCCAATTTGCACTTTCACTGTCTGTTTGACCTTATTTCATTAAAATAGCAGAAAAACTGTTTACCTTAAATGATTGTTCGCTTCTAAGACATTTTACACTTAAAAAAAACTTACAAAAGATTTTATCATACACACCAATCCCTAACAATGTCAAAGGAAAACACAAGAAAAACAATTGCAAAAAAATCACAGATTTTATTACAAACTGTAGATCTGCACTCCACCAGTAGGTGGGGACATGTTCACACGAAGTCTCATGAACTGTGGGGATTGTTGAAGCAATTTGGCCAAAAGGTTCAATGCCTCATGAGGCTTCATCTCACCATCACTAGATAATCCACAGGGTCAAGAGGCAGATCTTCATCAAAGTCTTTGATGGACGGGTCAGAAACGGGTCAGGATCAAGCAATCAGAACACTATTAGTCTACGCTCACACCACAGCCTGAAGTGACCCAAATGCTATTTTTTTTTTTGCCCACATGTGACCTGGATCTGATCTTTTAATGGCTGTCTGAACAACACAGATCCGATTTTTCCAATCTGACCCAGGCCACTTGGCTATGTGGTCCTGAATCCAATACGAATCTGATCTTTTCAAATGCAACCTGTGTGTGAACGGCCAGGTCGCATTCATCCGACCTAAACGGCATTAGTAACCGACGTAGGTCACTATTCTGCTTCTTGCTACAAAGAAGCGGCAAGAAAAACAAACACCATGGTGGACGATTATGCGGAGAGCAATATTTATGTTTAACCCTCTTGAAAAGATTGAGGTTTTAAGGTTGGGAAAGATCGCTAAATGCGCTCCAGCACTATATCCATGTTTACTCCCGTAAACAAGATTCACGTTGGCTTGTGACGTCATTGCGTCCTCTACTGCGCATGCGGGACACTTAAGCTGTATGAATGCAGTTCACACAGGAGATCACATACAAGTCGCATATATTTGGAAATGTGAACAGCAATGCAAAAAAATCGGATTTCACAAAAAAATCGTAATTGAGCATCAAGGCCTGCAGTGTGAACGTAGCCTTAGAAACGCCACAAAACTCTCACACCAAAAGCTCAAGAATAATCGGGCGCTGGCAACGCCAATAATGAGCAGTAATGACAAAACGAGCAGAGTTAGACAGGTGAATGAAATGAGCAATTAAGCCAGTCATCAGTGCCAAGATCATGACACGCTCTTAATAAATTCCTTTCATTTTGTTCCCAAAGAAAAACACAAATTTTTATTGATGACTTTACTTTCGGTTGGAATAATAGATTGGTACATTGACCTTTCTGTTGAGTCAATATGACAAAAGTGATACCAAATTCCTCCCAATCAGATGCAATATGATCCATTTTATTGAGTTGCATATAAATTTGTGCAAGTTCTAACTTTGCATCTTTTTTAGAGACAAATCTCAGATTCCTGTCTTTGAAATTTTTGACAAATGCTACTTCATATGAACTTTGCTCCCTAACAATCAGCACATCACTGTCCCAAGTGGAAGCTTAATTTTCCACTTCAGTGTACAGTACATGAAATCAAGCCAGCATGGATTATTGCTGCCGGATATTAATAAACTCCACTAGACCAAATCTTTAGGCTTGAAAAGGTACTGGAGCTGGCAAAATGAAGATTATGTTTTCTTTATTTACCATTAATAGAGACAAAAACAGAAATAGTACTAACTTAAATCATTTAAAAGGGTGTCATTAAATATTCAATATGGTGATACAGCTTTATACATCGATTTTACTTTAGGTTTTTATAGATTAAAATAATAAGAAATTAAAAGAAGCAATTTTTGTGCTTAATGTCTATAAGACAATCTGTTCTAAGATTCCCAAGGAGCCATTTTCATACCTGTGTGGAGGAGAAATCTCAACTTCAGAAGCATGCACTCAATCTTTACAGTTCATAAGAAGGGTCTGCTCATATCTGCAAGATAAGAAACAGCCAGAGTCTTGGTGGGAGTATCAAAAATGAAGGCCAAAGCTCTGTTGGTGAAGCTCCCCTTTTAAGTGACATTATATAAATGGATCAAAAGACATCCACACTTTGAAAATGTCATGTATAGCTGATTATGCATGACATCAATCCCTGCTCATTTATTATGTGCCTTTTATTTTACTAATTTTTGATTGAAAGTTTTCTGTGTAAAGTGTAAAATGAAAAAGAAAGAAACGGATAGTGGTTGAAAATGAAGGATTTCAAGGATGAGAACAAAACAAGTAGTAAAGAAAAAAATGCAATTATAAAATGTTTTGTTCTTATAAACATTTTTTGGTGTGACTTAAGCTTTTAAATTAGGTTGAAATCAAGAGTGCTTAAACCACATTTTTAAGGCTAAGTTACTTTATTGGGTTAACATTTAGAAATGCGGTTTTATTTAAAAATGAGTTGTGCAAGTAAAGCAAATTTGGAATATTTAAACCTAAAAACATAGATATAAGAAAAATCATTTCTTTTGCATTCTGTTGGCATGAAACTGGGAAGTGTTGCAAGATTTTTCCCGTTCAGTATGACCTTTTGATATTAATAGTAATAATCCCACATAATTTGAAAAAAATCAAACAGGAAAAATACAAAATAAAGGTCAATATAAAACATAAATATGTGATACTTAATAAGCAAATTGCTAAAAACAATAATTTACTTTAAAAAAGAACAAATTTTTTTTTTTAGCAGATTGCAGAATTGATTCTCTAGAAAGATGTTCCTATATGCAACGCTGGTGTAAAGTTTGTGAATAATGCTTTTAAAAGAAATATGATATATTGATTTTTGATGGTTCAAAAGATACAATTTGGCTCAGTTCTTTGAAAATCATGTGAAAAGAAGAAAAAGAGAGGGAAAGTGCAAATTCTATACTTATACCAGCTCCCTTCCATGAAATAGAGAGCATAGATTAGGTGTAATTTGACATGAGTGGAGTAACTGCTCAATGGTAGCTGCACTGTATGTATATCGACCACTGGGCTGAGATGTGCTTATGCTCCTCTTGTAACAGTAAAGATGGCACACAAAGCAAGGTAAAAGCAAATTAAGCTTAATTGCATGAAATATTAAAATAAATCAAGATTTTTCGTCATCTAATCCAAACGGATTTGGGATTAAAACTAGATGAGATCTTTTAAATCTTCCAGTTGGTATTTTGCCAATCAAACATCTCCTTAATGGAAAAACTAAAAATCTAAAAATTAAGGATTTATATTTTCCAATCTTTGAATAGTGATTTTTTTTTTAAATGGCTGACATTTGGGCAAATCTATAGTCCAGTAAAAGGCTGGCTGGCGTTTTCTGCCAGGTTTCTATCCCAGAGTTCTCAAAATCATCGAAAGATCTTTTATAACAACCTCAAGTGCAATTAAAGCAAACAAACCAACTAGCCATTAGTGTGATTCAGTAGATTCCCACTCATTTGCCCCTTCAGACACACGTACAATATAAAAGCTGCAACTTACTGAAAGAGGACAAAAAAAAAAGATGTCATTATATACAGTTAAACAAACAGAGATAGCGTTGGTTGTATTGAAGACTGAACACAAAAGGCTTTTATGCACCAAACTAATTTTAGGTCTACTTTGACATCCACCTGATGTGCTAACAATCAGGTTTAATCTACAACAGAGAAGAGAGATTCAGTGTCCTACAAAACATATCTTATAGGGGATTTCATCTAAAACCACAGAGTTGTGTGCAGTTGTGAAAGAGACATATTTTTTTTCTTCTAGTCAAGCAGAAAATTAGATTAGAATTAGACAATTATTCAGCCCCTGTAATCCGAGCACAGCAAACCATGGTGGTGGTGCTATTATGGTGTGGGGATGTTTATTTCCAGCAGGGATACATGAAGCTTCTCACAATTTGTTGATCAATATAAAGTAAAGAGATCCTTAATAAAACACTAGAATCGGGGTGGAGGGTTACTTTCCAGGAGGGCTACATAAACTTAAAGGTAATTTTTAAAAGACCCGCCCTCTTTACTTTAAAAAGTTGCACTTGTGAGAACATGCATGAGCCCATTTCTCCTCATGCATGCTCTGTTTAAAACATGCTTTTCTCATAGCCCATACATGCTTACTGTGCCCGATGTTCCGCCCTAATCCCTAAATCCCTCAATCACTATCTAGAGCAGAGGTCTTCAACAGGGGGTCCACGACCCCTAGAGGGTCCTGCATGGGGGTCGCGAAAATTTTGCTTGATTAGATCATTTTTGTATTCCCACCTGCAATTCTTTCCACTAATTGAAATGTCTTTAAATCCACATTAACATTAATTCAACACACTGTAGTAAACAGATAAATGGAGGCAGAAGATGTCTTTCAGTCATCAATGCTCACATTCAGCGACACACAGGGGCTCTTTCAAGCTGGGCACCGTTTCATTCACAACACCTGTCCCATCAACCAGGAATCAGAATCAGAAATACTTTAATAATCTAAAGGAGGAATTACTTTCGTTACATTACTCCATCTGTAATAGAGTGACTATAGGACCAGTTTGATAGAACACAATCTCATACAATATATATAATTAGGGGGTCCCTGCTCCATCTTGCCAACAGTTTGGGGGTCCTTTGCCTAGAAAATGTTGAAGACCCCTGATCTAGAGCAAGGGCAAGTAACACGGCATGGTGGCTACACCATCTTTGTTATTAGTCTTCTGAGGCCTTTTCTTCTGCTCATACACTTTTTCTCTTTCGACCCTCTGCCATTTTCAAAGAACGGCGGTGAGAAAGGTGGGCCTCAATGACTGGCTGAAACCATACAGTAGCTCACCACATATATACGCCTAAAGGCTGATTTATACTTCGAAACCAGGTCCACTGCATAGGTGTCCCCGATCCCTCCGCACACGCTCCGCTGCACCTCTTCCAAATTGTAACTTACCGCAGACAGTGCCGCAGACAGGAGGCCGGCTTGTTTTGTTTTTTTGACCGAAATTGCTGAAAACAACTCGTGAAGTTGGACCAGCTAGTCCAACTAGTTAGCTAGTTGGCCCTGATGTCCCTCCGTTGTTGGACTAAACCCACACCCACTTCCTCACCGCCTCGGCCGTATCTAGACGCTCAGCGAATAGTGCAGACCACACTTCAGTATTGAGCATAAATCAAAAATGTTTGCGTCAAGCTCACTGCTACGCACTGCTGCAGGAGTATAACCAGCCCTTAGACAGCCTTACGCACACATATCACCAGAATTATTGACAACTAGGAGGACCACTTATTTAGATGATCCACCCGGAAATAAAAGATCAACCTCTACACCTTTAAATCTGGAGCAGTGTTGGGGTTTTTCTGTTTAGAGATTATTCATGTATTAAAATGTCTTAGTAAAAGTTCTTAAAACAGATTGTATAAAGTCTATCTTCTGCACAGAATACTGGGCTTACATTTCAGTCTTTTGATGATCACAGTTATGCAGTACTTTCACACAATCCCAGTAGAGTTTGTAGAAGTGCAAAGCTAAATGCAAAGCTTAACTATATTATTTCCTAAATGCTTTAATATTTTTTTATTAATTTCAAGTAAATTGTGATCATTAAATCTGTCCTAATGTTAACATTACTCATCCTCCAGCCCCCTCCTTCCCTGTTTCAAAGTCACCACTCACACCTGCGACGCGTTTCAGTGGTGCGCACAAGAATGCTGCTCCCAAAAGGCAAAATAACCAATTTAAAAGATTATTGACCACAAATAAATCAGAAAGAGAAACATTTCCATCCAAATGGATTCAACAAGCGGTAGCAGCGCGGCGTCCGAGGAAGACGAAACCGTCCGCTTTGCGCTTCTCAGAGCCGGAGTCCTGGGGTTAATCTTTGTGCTTGCAACATGTGGAAACCTTTTCTTCTTAGTCACCCTTTGGAAAAGGAGGAAGAGGAATTCTCGGACCCAGCTCTTCCTCCTGCATCTGTGCTTTGCGGATCTGGTGGTGGCCTTTTTCCAAGTCCTGCCGCAGCTCTCCATAGAAATTACGCACAGGTTTCGCGGGACGGACTTCCTCTGCCGCCTCGTAAAATACCTACAGGTGGTCGGGATGTTCGCCTCTGCCTATATGATAGTGGCCATGGCTATAGACCGCTACCATGCAGTTTGTATGCCTATGGTTTCCTTTCTAGAGGGCTCTTTCAGAAGGTACGTCTCCATTGGCGCAGCGTGGCTCATCTCCCTGGTCTTCAGCTCTCCGCAGCTCTTCATCTTCTCCCTCCAGGAGGTGGAAGTCAATCTCTATGACTGCTGGGCGACATTCGTTGAACCCTGGGGGAGCAAGATCTACATCAGCTGGATCACCCTTGCAGTGTTTGCTGTTCCTGCAGTTATTCTGCTCTACTGCCAGATGAGAATATGCACAACTATCTACTTCAACATGAAGAGGAAGGCTCTGCAGTCAGGACGCACAGGCACCAAGGGGGTCTCCAATGCTATGCTCAAAACAGTGAAGATGACTTTTGTGATTATAATGGCATATACAGTCTGCTGGAGTCCTTTCTTTGTTGTGCAGTTGTGGTCTGCATGGAGCCCAAGCAGTGCCCCTACACAAGGTTGGTTTCCATTTTTTTCTACCAGTGCAGGGTTCATTGGGATGTAAAACCCTGGCCTGGAACCAAGAGTTTTAATAAATTATGGAATTATTTCTTATTTCTCTTAAAGGTGCATTTTAAACACACATTTTTTAGGAATTGATTATCTTTATGACAAAAAAATGCTCTAAACCTCACCTGCAGCTTGTCTAAAATATGGTTTACTTCTTCCTCCTATAGCAGCTTTAAAAGAAAAACAGTGGTATCTTTGTTAGTCTGGGCAGGTACCAAGTGTTGCTGGGACATGACATCAGCATCTCTATAAAAATATTCAGTAGCTAATTAAAGAGACAATTGGAAGGTTTTACAAAAAATGTTTAAAATAGCCTTTTTATTTGACCCTTTACGACTAAAACATTGTTCGATGAGCAGACTGAAGCATCTATATTTAATGGCCGATACATCTATGAGCCTATTTTTCCTTGAATGTACTTTGGGCGCTGTTCTGCGGATGTGATGTCAAGCATCTCCATGTTAATATATATATATTCAAGATGGATTTTGTGAATATTCCGAAGCGACTGGAATCCAGCTCAACTCCAGATCAGTGGCGGAGCTAGATGGGGGGCCAGGGGTGGCCATGGCCACCCTTAGCCAATCATTGTCCACCCCTACCATTTTTTTCCCCCTCTAATACAGATGGAGGCAACAGTCAGAACTACATTTTAAGTTGGTAGGTTTGCATAGGGACCATAGGGACATGTCCCTACCAAAATTTTGAACCGACCTAATTGTCCCGACCAATAATTGGATGTGAGCAACATGTTTATAATTTACAGCAGTAGTTGTTGCAGGAGTGGCTTCTTTTCCTCTCGCAGCTCCTCTGCCTGGTCTCTCCTGTCCCTTTCATGTAGCAGCGCAAGGAACTGTGCTGCGCTGTTTAACTCAACTCTCATTGGTTGTTCTGCCTTAAGTTCCGCCTTCTCTCTTTGATTGGCTGTTTTCTAGTCCGCGTGTGCTTGGAGCACAACATTGAAAATTTATTCACACTAGAATGCAGTGGTTACTACAATAAATATTAGGCTACAAAACTAGTCCCAATAAAAAAAATGAATATCATGTATACTAAAAAACAAAAACCTTTTTTTTTCTTTTATAAAACAAAATATTCTGAGTCAGCCAGGAGTTCTGAAGACTGCTGGAAAAATGGGCAAATAAAGGCTGTAAGCCATCAACATTTCTGATTCTTAGCCACAGCCAACTAAAAGAGAAAATGTGAGTGTTTCCTTTTTACCGATATTAAGTTGATATTACTGTTTTCGTTTTTTTTGTTTTTATTTTTACAATTTTGATATAATAACTGATCTATGTGGGTTGCTCTGTGGGGAAAGGCACATTTTACATTTATATTACTGTATGTTTTAAAGTCTCTATACTCCAGTTAATGATGAATCCCTTACTAAATTAGTTGACGATTATTGAAATAATCAATTAATATGATTCATTTTTTTCAGCCCCAGATGAAATACATGAAATTTGCTACACAGAGTAACTACAGCCCAGATGTCCTACTTTTATAGTGAAGTTAATATTTTAATGAATGTATTATTTTGCTTGATACAGAGAGAGAATAGTAGGTACAAATATTAGAGTGGGGTTTAACTCTGCACAATTCTATATCTTCAAAAGAAAATACTGTATTTACCTTCTCTCTTAGTGGTTCAAATGAAACCGTTTTCAAAGTGGAAAACAGTCCTAATTCCACATTCATCAGAGCCGGTGATACTTCAAACATTGATAAACAGCATCTAATGAGTGTAGAGCTTATAACATTTTTTTTAACGGAGCAAATTGTTGCTTTTCTCTTTTAACAATGAATTCCTCTTATCAGTATGGATGCTCACATCGAGCATAAAAAAGGGCATGCATATTGCATAGCACCAATGACACCAGACCAATAGTGTCCCTACCAAAGTTCAAATCAAACCTACGCCCTTGATATGGGGTAATGACAAAATGATGTTCTCTGCAAGTCATATAGGAGTATTCAGTGAAATCATAGATAACTATTTTGATAACAACATTAAATAATCAATTTATGTAGATATTATTACTTGTAAATATACATTTTTGGCAGAATGATTATTGATAAAAGTAAGTAATGTCAATGGCAATAACCAATGTAAACTGGATAGGCGCCAGAACCTCAGGGTTAATCTACACTGTTGCAACATGAAAATGAACAAGCACAACTTCCATATTTTCTAAATAAAGACAAACTATATTTTCCTACAGCCTTTGCTAACAAATAGAAGCATTTTATTTAAACATCTGGTATAGTGGATACAATTCTTTCAGGTTTGAGTTCTGGGGCGAACATCTCTTTCTTTGTCATTACTTACCTACTTTTATCAACAATTATTCTGCATAAAATTGATATTTACAAGTGCTAATATATACACAAATTGATTATTAAGCTTTTATTAAAAAAGTTATTTATCTATTATTTCACTGAAGACTCCTAGATGACTTTTCAGAGATTTTTTTTTCTCATTACCCCATATAACACAAAAGTTTGTTTCGAAAAGAGTATGAATTATCATCTTTAATGTTAGTATATTGATGTGCATAATTAACCTCATTGGTTTGTTGTCAAGTAAATGTTATTATATGAAAAATTAAAATGTTTTGAATGTTCCACTTGAGAGTATTACTGCTGCCACCATCTGTATTAGAGGGGGAAAAATAGTAGGGGTGGTCATGGATTAGCTAAGGGTGGCCATGGCCACCCCTGGCCACCCATCTAGATCCACCCCTGTTCTGAGGTTCTGGTGCCTATCCACTTTCAGTCATCCCTCAGTGTACATTGGTTATTGCCTGGCCACCCTTATAAAGATTTTCTGGCTACGCCTCTGCTCCACATAAGGTAGAAAAAGGAATAAAAAAAGCCTTTTCAAATACTGGCAAGTACAATGAGAACGAGCAGAAGAGTGCTGCAGTTCTATGTTTTGGCCACAGGTGGCAGTATCATTTGAAAACTTCACAAAGCTTCTTTAGTAAAATAATGTGTGGCAGATCTGGACACATACTCTTCCAGCTGTACATCCAGTTTACATATAGCTCACATGCCTCTTTCTACCAGGTTTTCCTTCCACCTAACTTTCCATAAGTATAAGCAGGTTTTTTTGAATAATGACATTTTTTGGCGTTCTCTTTGGGACTGCTGGTAAACTGTCAAGTCAGCAGTTTTCCCCATGATTAAGGGAACCAAAACATAATAGATTTTTTTATTGGTCATCTTATATTGACATTTTCCAAGGGGGTACTTTTTTGAAATCCAGCTAAATTAACAGATATACTTGGAAAAAAAAAAAAAAAAAACATTAAAAGTGATTAATCTTTGATAATTCTCATGGAATAACTAAAGTGAATAATTTTTTAAAGGATATTCTTGTTAGTTAGGCTTTGCCTAAATGGGTGCTCTATCTAGCTTGTGCATAAAAGACCCTGCTCAGTTGGGGGATGTGATATCCATGTTTCATCACATATTTTTTTTCTTTGTGTTTTCTGTCTTGCAGGTCCAATATTTTCAATTATCATGCTGCTCGCCAGTCTCAACAGCTGCACCAACCCTTGGATATATCTGTACTACAGCTGAAAAAACAGGCCTTAAATGAAAGGAGTCAGAAGAAGAGAAATAATTAACAAGGTCTCTGAAAAAATTCCCACCTGTGACAATCGGGGAGAAAACTTTCCATGTTCAGCTGCACGGAGAAGACTTTGAAGAAGAAAGGCACGTTTGTTGTGTTCTCCTTTTGTATAAAAATAAGCTCACGCTGCTTTTCTATGAAACAAAAAGGCATGGATTTAACAAGCAGCGGGAAACGAGCAAAGAAACGACACAAATATATTCCGACATGCTTCATATTTTCAGGAGGAGATGCAATGACTGAAGTAGCAAAACTGCTTCCTGCTTGATAAAGATGAAAAAGAAAATGAACTACGAGAGACATAAACATTGATTATGATTCCTATCAGCATGTGCAAATAAACAGGACGCATGGAGGCTAGGAATAGAAACGGACACAATTAGATTGACACATGTAAATGATGAAAAATTTAAAATATCAGATTAAGTAATTTTGCTAATGCCATTTTATTTTAACATTTATAAACGTTTTGTCCCCCCCTGCCCCAAGATCATAGAGAGTATGAATCATTTTTATTTTCTGCTTCTTTTACTATTCTCTTTAAAAACAAAGAGCCTTTCTTTCCAGAAACATATCAACCTATTTGCATATAAAGACCCATGGGGAACATTGCACATTATTCTTAAATTGGGTAAAATCTGAAAACTTCATCCAACAATTTTTACTCCTGAAGATCTGATGCTTCACCATAAATACATTCATCAAAGTTGTTTACTTTGTAAAATCCTTCTAAAGCACAGAGAACAAAAATATTGTCTATAAAATATTGCCTATATAACTATATTAACTTCTATAGAATTTCATATCCAAATATTTAAAGAAGATTTTACAATATGTAACAACAGGATGTCATACCTGCTAAATAAAACATTGGAGAAGTCTGGGCATATTTTATAATAATAATAATATTTTAATTTATACTGCACTTTCCATCAAAACATCTCAAAATGCTACAGGTAAGAACAGAAAAAAAAAAAAAACATAATTTTTGTCTTTAGATCTTTCTCTTTTCTTCAGGAGAAAACAAAAGCTCTACCCAGTAACTAAAAGACACTCCCAGCATTAAATACAACCACAAATAGCACTAGTAATGCAATTATTGTCACCAACAAGGGTTTTACAAGAATGCATAAGTTTTCAATGTAGCTTGTGAAGGATCAAACTTAAATAAGGACAAAAGGTGTTTGAAAATTGAAAAAAAAAACAACAACTTATATTTAATAGTGTCAAAAATTGTTAACAAAGGCTCACAAGCAATAAAAAACAGCTTAAATAAATAAGATGGATCTGGTCCCAACTCAACTGAGGTCAACTGAAGACGAATCAACTCAAACAAAAACCCAACCTTCTGATAAAGCACATAGGCTACTTAAATAGGGGTGGAATAACCTAAACGTTCCACATGAGGGAGGCACAATATAACAGAGAAGCAATAAAAAAAAAAAAAAGTCCATGCAAACTAAAACATAACTAAAACAACTCTAACTTAGCACAATTAATTAACTAAGGTGACAAAATAACTAAAGTAAACTAAAACAAAATTCCCCCTCAGTTCTTGGGAAACTGGTTTGTTCCTGGATTCTTCCACCTCCAGCTGATCTGTATTTGCAGAACTATGAAATTAAATAAACTTTGCGGTGGAGGTAGAAGGATCCACCACATAGCTTTAGAGCTTTCTTTTAACTGCTTCCCTACAGTTTCTGAAAAACACCTCCAAGAACCTCAAATATTGAATACTTACCAGCTTTCTATGGATTTAATCAAGGCAATGAATTGATCTGGTCAAGTTGGGCTGCATTATAACTATGTTTTTTTGTTACGTATCTATCCCACAATATAATGAAACTTCCACCATGCCTCAATGTATAAAGGGTTATCACATGAAATTTAAATAAGCCATTTGGTTTACTTCTTATTAAACTATGGATTCTCTTGATAACCTGCTTTTTAATTATAGCACCCATGACTATTGTCCATGGTATCTTGGTTTAATTGTTAGATATAAGAACTCGTCTTATTCCAACAGAAAATCTCAGCAGGCTTACGGTTTTCTTGGGAATGGTATTTATAAATGATGTCTTTCCATTCCAGCATAGTTTTATTATTTGCCTCACCTATTTTACACACGTTGCCGATATGTCAGATGATAAACAATCAGGTGTGCACAGAGAAGAGAAACGTCTGATACAAAATGTATTCTTATTTTCATGTCAGGTAAAAAAAAAAAGATAAAAAACTTAGTGTAACCAAAGACCCTCTGGCATTTTGTTTTATTTCTGCTTTAAATAAGATTAGCCCTCTCATGCAGCCAAAATACAACGGTGACTAACTCCGAGCCCAAGGGTGGAGCAGGGGGAGATAAATCCTGCAGCAGGTTTGTGTTCACGTAATTGCATTGCTTAAAACCATCACTGCAGATTTAATAGGAGAAAGAAGCTTTCTAAGATGCATGGGTTAAAAGGAATACAGCAGCAATTTATTTCTTAAAAGCCTGAATATGAAAGCAGAGTCAAGACTAGAAATAATGCAGCAAAGGTCAGTGAGGTTTCTAAGAAAGTATTCCCACCATACTTTCATTTAGCTTTTCATTACGTTTTTTTTCAGATGATGCATTTTTTTTAACCTATTTGCATGTTTGAGGTAGAGTTTTATATGAAGGATGCATAAAATCTTATCTTATGATTCATCCTGAAAGACATCATTAGAGCAGATGTGGCTACAAAGTAATACTGAGTCAATTGAGGACTTTTAATGCAACAGATGATTTCTTCACAAAGTTTTTCTCAAGACCTCGGCTTGACCTCAGCCAATCCGCTTAGCCGTATCTCCAAACCTAATCGAATTGCAAACTGGCGGAAGCGGCTCCCTGGAAATGACTCGCTATCTCACAGCCTTGTCATGCTTTGCCGGCATCAATTATTCAAATTTCCAAAGTGTTTAGGCAGAAGCTCGGAGCGACAAGTCACTGCTGATTGGAGGGATGCAATGTGACATGTTAGTGTATTTATAACACATTTACATCTTGGTCATAGACCTTGCTAAAAAAAAAAAAGAATGCTATGGATTTAGTCAGGACAAAATAACAAAAAACAGAAGTTTTTTTGGTACAATGCTGCACAATTATAGAGCATAGATGAGATCCTGAACAAACTAAGGTTGGACCTGATAGTATGAGATGGGCAATCATGACGTCCCAAAGGTGTCCTATTGGATTTAGATCACTTAATTGAGGGAGCTCAATGGTAGCGGTTCTCTTATAATCCAGGAACCTCCTGCATGCTACACATGATACAGGGCATCATCATGCCCTGGAGAGAAACCTAACGGCATCTAGGGTCAGAGGTGGGTAAAGAACCCAAAACATTTAAAGCAGCATACTTCATTATGTCTTTACTCAACTAAAAATTAAAAGTAGCCGTTAAAATAGTAAGAGGCTAAAAGCCTACTCAACTGCTAACTGAACTACTTCTACCCATGATCATAAAAACTGATTTAATTTTTTTACAAAATATTGTAAAATTGCACTAAATGATGTGCATATTCGGGTGTTTCAAACAAAAATAAAAAGATATAAACATAAAATACAGTTACTATACAATAAAACGCAACTAATGATTATTTTGCAAATCGATTAATATGAATATTTTTTCGATGAATCGATTAATAATCAGATAGCCAAAGATTCTTTAAAGAAGACTTTTTGTGAAGTTAAACCAAGTGAAAATAAAGCTTTTCCACTTAAGGAATGCTGGATAGAACATATTGACAAATTAAAAAGATTTATATCTTAAATCCAAAATGTTTACACATTTTTCTTTTTTACATTTTGGTATAATTACTGCTCTAAGGGGGTCGCTTTGTTAGTTAAAGGCACATTTTAGAGTCTCTACACTCCAGTTTATGATTAATCAATTACTAAATTAGTTGACGATTATTTCAATAATCGATTAGTCACGATTAATCCAATTAATTGTTTCAGCCCAAGTGCAATGAACACTCTTCCAAAAAAAATATTTTGTGTTGTAAAACTTACAAAAGGAATAGTTTAAGTGTGTGAGAAAAGGTTCAATTACGTTAAACATTTAACCAATGTAACCAAAAGTTTGGGATCCGTTGGTCAAGTGGAAGAAATCAATCCAGGCATCTTTAAAAAGCCTAGATCCAGGCCCTTTCTGAGTCAGCTCAGCTGTCAAACTGTAGTGCTCTTACATTTTTCAAGAAAGGTATTCCTAAAATGTCCAATTCAAAACATAAAATGGTAGACGAAGAAAAAGATCAGATTATCTTAACTATGATCATCAGGTGGAGGTAAAACTGAAATTTAAAAGTGTGTATTTTTTTGTGCCTAATTTATATATGTATATATATATATACCGTATATATATATATATTTTTTTTTTTCATTTATTACAAATGATATTTGACCAGAAAAGAATAAAACAAACATAGAAGCAAACATGTTTTAATACTCTTCATTTCCTCTTAATAAATTCTCAAACAGCCCCTAAAAGTGGTGAAATTAATACTTTCCCTGACATCACAAATAAAGCTTGACAAAAACATAAACAAAGCCTTTGGAGAAAAACATATTCAAAAAACTAAAATAAATGAACTTATCAATGACATCCTGAAATTCACCAGTAAGTATTCAATTAGGATAGTTTGGTATAAATAACATCATCTTGTTGACTGGAAATTTAGGACCTTTTTTTATTTATTTATTTATTTTTTTTTCCTGATGGATATACAAAAATTAACATAAAAGATCAAATCCCCACCCTTCCCTTACCCTCACAAAACAGCACATCATAGAACACTTTCACAGTCAAGACAACATGATGAAAATTTAGGACCTTTTATGCAAAAATAAAAAAGTGCTGCTCATATTACAAAAAAATTATACATGCAATTGTAAAGGAGTGAAAAGGGAAACAGTGCCACCATGTGGACATGATTAGACCTGCAGTAATGGGTTACTGAAGCAGTTTTGCAGAAAAAGACAATCCACTGAGATGTAACAAAACACTGGATTAGAGTAAAATAGATGATATGTAATCTTCTAAAATCTTTTGCTTCTCTTTAAAAACGGCCCCATCCCTCTTCAGGAGCGCAATCTCATTCTCCAAACTGTGAATTTTAGCCACAGTGCTCTCCTCTCTGCGACCCAGTTCCAAAATCTTTGCGTGCAGACTCAAGATCTTACTCAACAGCTCATCTTTGTCAGTGTCTGGTCTGCAGTACGAGTGCTCGTGGACCAAAGTGTGCTCTCCATCACTTAGCCTTGTCTCTTCCAAAAGGCTCCCTGGATGTTTGTCTTTAATCGATTCTAGATTCTGCTGTGATTGAAAGGAAATGCCACCTATATGCTTCTTGTTGGTGAAGGAAGGGCCAAGTGTTTCACATCCAAACAACTCCATGATGGAGTCAGTTTGCTCTTCAGAAGATATCGATGATGTGAGGCAGGATGCTGCTGAAACTCCACTGTCCAATGTTACCTGACAAACAGTAGTGCATGTCTCAAGGAGACTTGACGGACAAGAGATTGCAGACTCTGGTAAAAGAGGGACTTTGAGTAGCGTTGGCGACTGTTTTGTAACAGTATTGTCATTTAAGTCTGGCTGTGTTTCTGGGTACGTTTTCCTTAAAACAAGGGGAATCTTAGTGGGGACAGACTCTGAGTCCTTAGTCTCTGAAGGAAGTCCGTCTTTTGGACTCTGAAGGGAAACTTTGTTTTCACAATCCTTGGATGAAAGAGAATACCGCAGTTAAATTAGGTCACCACCACCAATATATCAATTGTGGATTTATGACACAGTAAATATAACATTTGTAACTCATGCTAGAAAACATATTTTTATCATTTGTAAAAGTTGCTACATACGTTCCCGGTAGAGGGGAAAAGGGTGGGGATGGCCGTATTCTTCAGGTATCGGATACCCCAGCGAATATCAAAGCAGTCCTCACTAAAATGCTCGCTGCATAGATACTGATGTCGACTCGGGGTCCATTCCCCCCTCCTCATGTTGTTCACCCATTTTTGGAGCCTGGGCTTGTCCTGCAAAGGGAAACTGTGAAGAAAGAGAAAAACAAAGGAACTTTATAAATCACTGCAAATATGATGAACTGTAATTAAATAAATCCTTATATGTACAATCCTTGGATTTTCTTTCTTTTCTTTAACTTACAGATTTCTTCTAACTTAATATAAATGCAGGAGATAGAAGTATGGATTATATATTCCATCAGGAATTAAACCCGTTGTTTTGGAAAACAAAGGATGCTTTGCGTCACTGGTGAGGCTTATTCAGAACATTTAACTTGCAAAAAATGCTTATATTCCATTTTAAATTTGCTTATCTGATTGGAATATTTGCATCCTCTCTGTTGGTACAGTGAATAAAAAGGTGATTCTATGTCTGCATCTATTTATAAAGCTACAAACATGATCAGGAAAGTGGGATTACGAGTCTTGGTTAAACATTGTGCTGGCATGATGGGATGGGGTTATCAGAAGGGGTTATTTTCATGTTAGATGTCATACGAGGATTCTGAGGGATATTGGCTGGGCCTGAAAGGCCCTGGAGACGCAGAATTGGTTGACATAGCAACACACTAAGGCTGAAATCTGATTGGACAAAAAAATATGGAAGCAGTGCAGGTAACAGAAAAGCTACAAAATTAAGAGAATGGATTCTTTGAAATAAATTAATACAGTTGGATAGAAGAAAATTAAATTTTAGCTTGTGAATATAGGTTAGTGTTTCTGACCAATTTTAGGCTGGCATTGAAGGCTTTGACCGCCCACCACTTGTCACATAAGTGGCGTTGATCCCACTGAATTTAGACGTCTTTGTGGTATTCTAGCTCGGTGACAGTAGCAGAAAAATCTCAATGTTTTGCCAGGTTAAGAAAAGTGATCTCTATCATATGAAAGAACTGCTTATAAAGAATAAGAAAATGATCCAAGATCTCTGTGGACTTCATGAACATCTTGACAAATCGTTTTCTCAAATTACTCCGAATTAAACATCAGATGAAAGTTGAAAATCGTTAAGCAGCAAGTACGAAAAAAGGATGAAGAAGCTTCAGCTAGAGCAAGATTTCCAGGTTATCATTGAGAAAATGGTCGCAGAAATGAAAAAATTTCAAGCTCTATCCCGAAGAAATGCTGAACTTCACAACCAGTGGAACCAATAGATCCAATGATATTGAAAAGTAAGCACAAGCTTATGAAAATGTTGAGAAAAGGTAACAAGAATTTGGAAAAAGAAGCTAACAGGATGACAGGCAAACTTTCATATCAAACTAAAATAGCTAAGACATACAAAGAGGGAGAGAGTGGATTGCAGAGTTGGACAATGTTGACAGAACTTTAAATAAAAGATTCAGGATTTCAAAGCAACTTTTGAACCTTGGAACTGAATAAGTTTGCCACTTTAAACTAAGAGAAGCAAAAAAAAAAATTGTAAAAGCATTAAATTCTGCCATGAAGAAATTCAGTGACATGAAAAAGGAACTTGATTCCTACTTTAGAAAAGATACAGGGCGAATTAAGACCTGTAAGGCTGGAAATCTAGAAAATGATATTTCTGGTCTGATAGCGGTAATTGAGACACACAAGCAAATTCAGCCACAAGACACAAAAAAGGAAAATGGAGATTCTGAAGACACAAAAATGGTCCCAGTCCTTGGTCATAGGGAACCCCCACCTGCTGACCAACTAATCAAGAAAAAAGAACCTTTAAAGGAAGGTTATAAGTGTGACAAAAAGTGTAATGAACCAGGTGTGTCAACTGTAAATGAAACACACCAACAGATCAAATCACAGGCGGAACATATGGAGATACAGATACTGAAACAGAGGATGCAACAAAAACTGAATCAGAGGATGCAACAGACTAAGATGCAGATTCTGATGACATAAAATAGTTTTTCTTCACATCCTGTCCCTGATTATAATGAAATCATGCCTTTGGACGCAGGGGCGGGGCTAGATGGAGGGCCAGCCAATCATTGTCAACCCTACCAATTGTTTCCCCTCTAATTCAGTGGCAGCAGTAATACTCTTAAGTGGAATATTCAAAACATTAAAATTTTTTGTGGTTAATTATACACATCAATACACTAACATCAAAGATGATAAGTACAGAATTCAGAGCTAGATTTTGTGTTATATGGGGTAAAGAGAAAATTATGTGTCTGCAAGTCATCTGGGAGTCTTCAGTGAAATCAAAGATAACAATTTTAATAAAAACGTCTCGAATAATCAATTTATGTAGATATTAGTGCTTGTAAATATTAATTTTATGCAGAATGTGTATTGATACAAGTAGGTAAGTAAAGACAATGGAAAAGATTTACGCCCCAGAACTCAAAACGGATGTTTTATCCACTACACCTTTTATTTAGAAATTACAGATGTTTAAATATATGCAACTATTTGTTAGCAAAGGCTGTAGGAAAGTATAGTTTGTCTTTATTTAGAAACTTTGGATGTTTTGATCGTTATTTTTCCTGTTGGAAAAGGGTCGATTGACCCTGAGGTTCTGGTGCCTATCCGCTTTCGGCCACCCTTATAAAAAATTTCTGGCTACACCCCTGTTTGGACTAACGCAGCAAGAAAAAATACCTTTTTAAGATGTCTGACTAAGTGTGCGGGAACCAGGAATGTCAACAATGAATGAAAAACACATTTTTAATTTTGAGGATATGCATTTTTTTTTTTTTTACTTAAAATATATTTATATCAGCTAACTGCTCCATTATTACAGAAGTTTGTCTCGAATTTGTACGAAAAAAGGCTGTTGAAAGAATCACATGGTGAACATAAAGAACAATAAAGTCTAATGGCACTAGTCAAATCTGCAAAACCTATGCCTAAACAGACAGAAAACTTACGGATAGAAACTGATTCTCTTGTTGTGTTGTTTTGATAAAGTGCCCCCACGGTTTCGGCAAAGCTTTACTGCGCAGTAGCGTGGCATTTTTTCTTTAAAACAACATGAAGAGACCTATACATATGAGATAAAAACACTAAACACCACACGGTTATGGATTTTTTAACGCGAAAATTCTTAAAAATGTACACTTCCGGTTTATGGTTCCACAAGATGGAAGTGACGTTCCCAACATTAGTAGGTTGAATCCGTAGCAGGCAGCCGGGGAGTGACCTAGCTGGTAGAGACGTGGGGAGGAGATGTTTGCTAAGAAAGAGTGATGAACTACCCGGATATGAAAGATAACCTCTATAATGTATTTATTTTTCGGATGTACTAGCTTACAGCCAAACAAAATTAAGTAAAATGTTGTGCTGAGTGACCCTAGTGGATCTGAACAGGCAAGCCCCGCATGAGGTTTTGTTAAAAAAACCGCCACGCCGGCTGCCTAATGGTGCGCACCCTCCAAAATGTTACCTAACCGTTACCAGGCAGCTGTGAAGATTTTTCAGTTTTGTTTTTAAATAAAGCAGTTGCAAAACGATTGTAAAACGTTGGAACTGAAATATATATATATATATATATATATATATATATATATATATATATATATATATATATATATATATATATATATATATATATACGTTTAAATCTACCCCATTTATCAGCTAAAACATATTAAAACGTCTATAAAATTATTCTTTAATGGATAAATAAAAATTGCGCCCGAAAACAGGATCAAAACGTCAGTAATAATCTTTGTACTCCTCTACTCTTTTAGTAAATTCTGAAGCTCCACGTGCGCACGGTTTCCACCAATCACAGCCTTCAGAGTCAGTGTGTTCGGAAACGGACCAATAGAAAAGCGAGTCGTGTTGTTGAGGCTCAGGAATGCTTTTCAGGCTACAGCTGCTGAGTTTCGTTTTGCATCAGCTGGAGCTGTTATCGGCGGTTGACATAAGTATCCCCGAGGCTGTCCGTCTCTTCTTTTGCAGGTAATTGCAGGTAAATGTTCCAACTCTCTGATAGGGAAATACAAACACTCTCTATATCATAGGAAGGCTTTATTTGTAAGTGTATGTATCAATAAAATAGTCTATTACTATTTATAACGGAAAGTTTCTAGTCTGTTCTGGAGTGTACTCCTCATCAGCTTGTTATTTCTTCCGTTAAAACTAACCGAAGTATAGTGAAAATGCTTTTATTCTCAAAAGTAACCACTGTTTAAGCCAACTTTACGCATTCTGTACCCAATTCTGTCCTTCCTTTATAGCCAAAGGGTGTGATAACAGTAAGTATGGCCACAGCTCAGTCCATGCTGCTGCTTGCGGTCCACATTCTGCTCATCTCGGAGTTCATCCTGGCCAAAAGAGACTACTATGAGATCCTGGGGGTCCCCAGAGATGCCACGGAGCGCCAGATCAAGAAGGCTTTCCACAAGCTGGCTCTGAAGTATCACCCTGACAGAAACAAGGGCGCAGACGCAGAGGCCAAGTTCAGAGAAATTGCAGAGGGTAAGCCAGTGATTCATCATGGCTTTTCTGTTATGTCAAGGAAGTGTTTTGTTTACTAGTTGCCCTGCAAATATGTTGTGTTTGTGTTCCTCTTAGGTCTTTGGAAGGGTTTTTTTTTTGTGTGTGTGTGTTTGATAATACATATATTTAGTATAAATAATACCAGCACTGAAACAATTAATCGGATTAATTGATTATTGCAATAATCGTCAACTACCTTAGTAATTGATTAATCGTTAACTGGAGTATAGAGACTCTAAAACATGCCTTTAGCTCGGAGGTCTTCAACAGGGGTTCCATGGAGGTACTGCATGGGGGTCACAAAAATTTTGGTTGATTAGACTTTTTTTTTTTTATATTCCCCCCCTGCATTTTTTCCACTGATTGAAATGTCTTTAAATACACATTAACGGGGATTCAACACACTGTAGTAAACAGATAAAAGGAGGCAGAAGATGTCTTTCAGTCATCAATGCACACATTTAGCGACACACAGGAGCTCTTTTAAGCTGGGCACCGTTTCATTCACAACACCTGTCCCATCAACCAGGAATCAGAATCAGAAATACTTTCATAATCTAAAAGAGGAATTACTTTCATCACCTTACTGTAATAGAGTGACTATAGGACCAGTTTGATATAACACAATTTAATACAATATATATAACTAGGGGGTCCCTGCTCCATCTCGCTATTAGTTTGGAGGTCCTTGGCCTAGAAAACATTGAAGACCCCTGCTTTAGCTGATAGAGCCACATACTTAGAGTAGTAATTACATCAAAATTGTAAATAAAATATATAAACTTTTTGTATTTAAGATAAATAAAAAAAATGTTTTCATCTGTTAACCCACTATGTTCTATCCAGAACTCTTCAATTAGAAAAGTTTTAGTTTCACCTAGTTTCATTATGTAAAAAATCTTCTTTAAGGAACCTTTCACTGTCCGATTATTAATCGATTTATCATAAAAAATAATTGACTGCTTAATCCATTTGCAAAATAATTGTTAGTTGCAGCCCTAAATAATACACTTAATAACTAGTTCTTTTTTTTTATTATTTTATATAGGAAAATTTCATAAGAAAATGTAATAAACACAATCAGCTGCATTTACCCAAATGCATTTTGCCAGGCTTTAAAATAGATTTGGTATGGCATGGGATTAGCATTTAGTTCTGGATAATCTTGATTTGAAAAAAACATCGTGTTTTGTTTTTTTTGTTATCTTTAAAGTGATTGGTGGTATATCATGTCTCTGAAGAAGACTTGCAGTAAGATGAGCTTTGTGTACTGTCCCTTGATTAATGATTAAGAATTAGCTGGAACTTCTGTTCTAAGCTGTTACAATCTCAATTCCTGTAAATTTTTCAAAAAATATGTATTATTTTTTTTTTTTCAAAATTGGTTTCTTCTACCAGGATGTTCATCGTATAAGCCTTTATCTTTGGCATAGTTACTATTGTAAATATAGAACAAGCCTAATAAATAAAAAACATTTTTATGGGGGGAAAAAACACCAAATTAATGACAATTCCAGAAGAAGCCCTTTTCTTAGTTTCACTAACTAGTAGTTTTTTTTTTACAAACATTTTTGAATATAAATATACACAAAACAATTTTACTATTGCATAATTTCAGAAAAACTGACTAATATTTACAACCTGTACCTGGAAAATTCTGGTAATTTAAAAGAGGAAATGTGTATAAACCCTATGATATTAACGCTACATGATCTTTAAAACGCATGTAGAGGAATTACTGTCAAGAAGAATTAACTGTGATGTGTGTTATTGCTCAAAGATAATAGGAAATATCTGAGTATGAAGAAAAGAAGTGGGTTTCTTTGTAATCTCATTTTGCTGCAACGTTTTTACTAACTTTTAGGGTTTTAAATTACATTACAACCACAAACTTTAATGTTTAATTTTACAGATAAGTTTGTTTTTCACTTTTAAGTGGAAGGAAAGGATCAATAGTTTTATTAAAACCTCATTAATTGAAACTTTTGGAAACAAAATGGCCAAACTAACTTGATTCATTAGATTAAGTCTTACTAGTATCAATAATTACATTAAAATTGTGAAAAAATATAAAGATAAAATAAAAAAAGTAGCATTGTTTTATCTTTTTTTTTGTTTTGTTTTTATGAGTTTTTCTAGAATATGTAAAGCAGCAGACTTTTGAGTCTGGAAAGCTAGCGGTCCATCGGTCAGCCAGTTAAAGCCTGAAGCTGCTCCAAGTGTTTTTAATTTCACCGCCTATAAGCTGAACTCTACTGACAGCAGGACAGCAACAATCTGCCGTAGTAACAGGGTGAAAACACGCAAAGCAGAGAGGGGTAAAGTTAAATTCGCAGGTACTAAATCTTCAACTGTGCCCCAACTCCAAACCCACTCCCATCACTTGAACCTACTTTTCAGACTTTATCCCTGTTATTTCTTATTAAAGACACTTTTATAAAACTCAAACAGCAGCTGTCAGGATTGATACCTCTGCAGCATAGGGTCCACTAGCCATAGGCTACCCCAATGGGTCCAAACCTGCAGAGAAATTGTTTATTTCTTACCATGATTCCCCTTTTCCACGGCAGGCAGTCAGGTTATCCTAAGGTCCGAGCTCTCCCTCACCATCCTGCAGGCTTATTCCAGAAATGTCCGGTCTCTCTGATCTCTTCACTCAGCACAGAAATCTAAATGTGCCAAACATTGGTAATAGAGAATCCGTCACTGTGGGCATCGGGGACCAGCATCCACACCTGGTAGCGTTGCCAACCCTCTACGCCCCAAACACATGTACCAGTATTAGTTGTTTTTTTTACCCTAGCAGGTCCAGATGACCATATCTATGTGGAACCCTTGATGTTCCGGCAGTCTGTGCATGTGCATTGCCTTACGATAGGGCGGATAGTCAGGAAACACTGCCCTTTCTCTCCTTACTAAGGTTTGAGTTTAAAGCCGAATGGGCTCAAAAGCATAAGCAATGGGATTTAGACACTCAAGGGTCCTTTCAGCTTCATCTTCCATCAAACCTAAATTTGTGTTTTACCGTTTTGAGGTATCGCCTTATATCCTACGCAGTCAACTGCTAGCTGAAGCATCAACCATCCCTGTGACATCACCACTGTGATCTGGTTCTGCTGGAGGTTTCTTCCTGTTAAAGGGGAGTTTTTCTTTCCCACTGTCGCTACAAGCATGTTTTGTGTGAGATGACACTTGTTGTGAATTGGTGCTATATATATACATAAATTGAATTGAATTGACCACCACTACTGCAACATGGTGGCGCCTTGCCAAAAAATTATAAAAATGTTTTTTTATAAAAAAAAAGAAGAAAAAAAATGTTTTTTTAATTTTCCACTTATATTTTTCACATTTGTAATATAATTATTGATAATAGTAAGACACAATCTCGTGAATTAACTTGCTGTGGTTAACCATTTTATTTCCACTTAAAATCTAGTGACACATTATGTTAAACTAAAGATTCTTACCTGAAATCTGTTTCTCTTTCAGCTTATGAGACATTATCAGACGATAAGAGAAGGAGAGAATATGACCAGTTTGGCCAAGCTGCCTCATCAGGAGAGGCTTTCAGAGGAAGTGGAGCTGGCGGCGGCAGCAGCGGCGGGGACTACAACTTTAGACAGCACTACCAGTCCTTCAATTTTAAATTTGATGACATCTTCAAAGACTTTGACCCTTTTGGTCAACAACAGCGACACCAACACCAGTTTCACTCTCATAATCAGGCACACCAGAAGAGACACTTTGATAGTCACTTCCAGGCTCATAAGGAGTCTATGAACAGGCAGCAGAGAGCGTTTCAGCAGGGGGGCTTCGGCGGAGGACTGTTTGATGACATGTTTGAGGACTTGGAAAAAATGTTTTCCTTCAACACGCACGCTTCCAGGACTGAGAGCAGATTTCAAGGCTCGGCGAAGCATCAGTGCAGGACGGTGACTGAGCGGAGGGGGAGCATGGTGACCACCTTCACCGACTGCTCCTGAGTCGAGAAGAAAAAACACTCTCCGCACAAATTTCAGTTACGGTGTTGAAATCAGATGTTAATTTATCACTTGGTTTGGCTTTTGTAATTCTTTGCGTATTTCTCTATCAACAAATTTCCAAGCTAGTTATGCAAGCAGCTGTTCTGAAGCAATAACTCAACCACTTTATTGTTTATTGCATGGGAATAAGTCGTAGGACCATCCAATTATCTCTCCTCTGTTCATCTTTTCTTGTTCATTGTGTTTGCTTCGGTTTATGACTGCATGGCCTGACACTCAGGAAAAATTTTAATGATTGCTCTTTTTTCTGTCAAGAGCAGAAAGGCAAAAAAATCCTCTCAGAAAGTATCTTTAATACAGCAGTTAATCAAGCAATGCACGTGTACTTTCAAACTTTGAATAGATCACAAATGAACATCTATTTTACTGCAAAGAACTTTCAGGAAATTTAGCTGCGGTCACACGCTGGAAAGTGTGCAGGATGGCCACCATCAACTGTTACCTCATTTTAAGTTTCTTTCTGTAGGAATGCATCTCCCATCACTCAGTCAGGGTAGGAGCCTAACATCAGTCCCATGATAAAGACTGGGAAAGCGAGCAGCAGGCAGCTTATAGTGTTGCTACAGTAACTCATTTCTCAGTCAAGCTGGAAGGTCTGACAAGTTAAGTTTCCCAAACTGATAAGAATGTGCAATATTTAGCACCTTTGATCTTCATGTTGCCTATGATTGAAAGACAGTGCTCTGCAAATGTCATTGTCTAACGTCTGCACTTTGTGTATGATAAGTGTGTATGTGTGTGTGCTGAGTGTGGATTGCAAAATGTTTTAAAAAGTAATTAAAACATGAGATCATATACGTGTTTGTATGTTGCTTTTTTCCCCTCTAACCAAAAAAACAATTGTACAGATTGCATAAAACCATCTATAAGATTTGAGAAATATTTGCAAATTCTGTCACTAAATGAAGATACAACTGTAGGATAGGAAACAAAATTCAGGTATATTTTTATGCTATTTATTTTTTTACTTGGGAAAATATGTTATTGCTCTATGTTCAAGCTATTCGTTGTTCCAGAACATACCACTAGAGGTCGCACTTTTCCAAACCATAACATTGCTTCATCTGGAAAAACCCTTTTAAAAGAGGAAGGTGGTGCCTGGTGATCCTAAACAAATATCAAAACATAAAAATCGTGTTACATGATTGTTTTTCTCCAATGTTTTGTCTATTTCTCTTAGTATGGCAGACTTATATGTTTAATTTCTGATTTGTTTAAAGTGATCTGGAAACCTCAGATATATATTTAACTATGACCAAATAGGGGCAATAAAATAGAAGTAGCTCTCATTCTGTAAAGCTAAGGAGATGTTTTAATAGAAACATAAGTGAAGTTCAACTTCTAAGCCTCCTCTGTGCTCAGATCTTTCTGCTTTTCTTCTTCTAACCAGAAAGGATGAAATTATCTGAAGGAACTGCACATGACCAAGAGGAAGAACTTTTAGCCTCAAACCATTACAGCTGATTGCACATGAGTTTTAACCTTAAAATCTGGTTATATATATAAAAAAAAAAAAAAAAAGAAAAGAAATAGGAAGGTCTATGAAAACTGCTTAGTCATCCACACTGTGCCACACCTAAACACAGTTCAGTTAAAGTAAACCAGATAAGGTTGCCACTGCAGATTTTACCTCCTTTCCGGAGCTGAGTCATTACAGATCTGCAAACAGGCACTTGATTAATAAAAAACGTCAGATCACACAGTAAAATTCAGGAAAGTGTCATCGAATCAAAGCTGGGACATTTTTGCCCACAAACCAGCCAATATTGGATTTTCAGTAATAAATCCAAAATGGAAAAAAAGGGGTCACTTAAAATGTAAGCACCAGCAGCAGAGAATTTCATCATTTTTTTTTTGACAAAAGCTAAAAATATTAAGTATTTCCAAACTCAAAAACAAGACTACAGATTCTAGTTTGTTTACATTTTGTTTTTTAAGCAACAAATCTGAAAACATGCATACATACCTCAATGCAACAATAAGAAATGTCTTAAACATGAACATAAGCAGACTGGATGCTAAAGCAACAGATTTCTGCTAAATCATCCTTCCTTGAATTTATTCCTGATTAAACATTCATAAATCAGGTGACACACATTTATTATCAGGTACGGCGCATCTATAGCAACAGTTACCCTTCTACATTTGCTGCACATCAATCTACAGGATTAGCTGAGCTATGACGAAACCTTGCATTATTTTTCTGTCGAGTCATGGGATGACTTTGATTTTAGCAAATGTCATGATCCGTTTCGCCCGCACACCTACGCTGGTCGTAACAGTTGTGAGTCTTTCAATCTTTTACCAGGAGCTGGCACATAAAGACGCAGGATAAGTGGTGACATCACAGGTGGACCTGGGTTAAACTCAAATAACCTGTGGCCTCATGCCCGTTAGATATCAACATGGCTTACTTTTTAGACATTTAATTGCCTTATGTTGCGTAAACCCAGTATGTGTATAATTGCCTGTATGCCCTCTAGAACTTGTTCTAGAAAGGTCAGAACTTTGCAAATGGACCCATATATATCTTGTGTTTTTGCACGAAATTCTGACCAAATTGCACCATTAAGTCTTCTGCATTGTGTTATTGTTTTAATTGGACCTGTATCTTAAATAGAAACCCTTTGGCGTTTACCATAGGGTTGCAGGTCAGGCCAGAGGGGTTAGCTACCATCGAGCCGGTCAGTAAAGCAATGAGGGAAACTGGGGATCATGACTGCGCTTCCAGCGGATACCAGAGTGCATCAGCTGACTTGGATCGGAATATAATTTTAGTTATGTTTACACCCCTGTAGTAGAATTGAAAATTTCGCAAAGAGAGGCTGATGTAGAACTTACAATTCTGAAGTATTTTTTTTGTTTAACCCTAGGTGTTGTGCCATTGTACAAAAAATTGAGAAATAGTTTAACGTTTAAGAAAACTGTTTGGCAAAAATGTAGAAACGCATTGAGTATTTATTCTCCCAAACAAGGAGAGGGAGGGAACCCCATTTTTGAAATTCTGTCTCAATCTCAAATCTTCACAATAAAGAGAATTAAAAGACCTGGCTATGTTAAAAACCAAGGCACTTAAATCCAAAAGGATTAAATTTGAAAGGAATCTCCAAGTGGGAGGGCTGCATCGCTAGCTTATTGACAGGATAGCATTCACTCTTGGCAACATTAATTTTATACCCTGAAAACTGACCTAATCTATGAAAGAATGAGACAATAGAGGGGCAGACTCTTACTGGATCTGTTACATATAATCACTTTTTTTTAGTAATAAATATGGGAGTCTGTGCAAACCAGCCCAGTTTGCAGCATCGCTTAGTGCTATTCTTCACTTTGTCCCTTTACTGGAGAAAACCAAGAACTAAGCTGTTCATGCAGTAATACTTTTGGACTCTCTGTCTACCTATCAGAATGTTTTCCAGTCTTAATGCCTCTGTCTTTAATTATGTTTCTTAAGAAAGAAATTGTCTTCTTAAAATATTATTTAAAAGCTCCTGGCCTTTGGCTTCTATTTTATTCCATTGCAGTGTGTTTCACTCCTTTTTCACTACCATTGAAAAGTAATCCTAACTCATAAAACTATGTCTTTACCCAATCCTTTTCTAGATGAAGCTATTGACAGAGCTGTTATTGCTGTTTTCTTAAAGTACACTCTTTTCTTAATTTACACTCTCTTTTTAATGTAAACTCTTCTAATGCTGAACAGACCAAGGAGCTGATTGTGGACCTCAGGAGGAACGCTAACCCACATCCATCCATCCATATCTAGGGGACGGTGGTGGAGGGTCTGGACAGCTTTAAGTTCCTTAGAGTCCACATCTCTGAAGACCAGACCTGGATGACCAGCCACTCCGAACTCATCAAATAGACGCCCAATGAGGAGCCTCATGAGGAGCCAGTCGAAGAACTATCTTTCCTCAGAGATCCTCACGAACTTCAACCGCTGCACCATCAAGTATGGTAGGGGAAATGCTCTGCCTCGGACAGGAAGGCATTGCAGAGGATGGTGAAAAGTGTCAGCGCATTGCCGGGGCACCGCTCCATGCAATCTATAGGAACATCAATAGGACATCTATAGGAAGCTGTGTGTGTAAAGAGCCAGAAAAAAAAAATCACAAAAGACTCTGACTCACTAACTCTGAACACACTCTCCTCACTCCTGCCCTCTGGTAGACGTTAAAGAAGCCTACAGACTAGAACTACCAACTACAAGGACTGCGCGCACCCACAACACACAAACACACATACAAAACAATAACAGATAGACTACCCTCACACATGCATCCACAGATCCAACACCACTTACATACACTTCTCAACTATAGCTCTATATAATCCGCAACTCTTTGATCTGCTATTATATTATATATATATATATATATATATATATATATATATATATATATTTATATATTAATATATATATATAAAAGAAAACTCTTCCTCATCCATACCAGAAGCCTGGGAGCTTGAGGGTTCTGCACTGTATCTTTGCTGTTCCTAGAACTGCACTCTTGGATTCGGTCCAGAAAACTGGATCTCTGGACCAGAGAACTGGATCTCTGGACCAAGATGTCTGATGTATTTTCATGGATCTGCTTTAACCACTCTTCAAGCTTGGGGGTCACTGCCCCGAGGGTCCCAATGATCACGGGTACCACTGATGCCTTGACCTTCCAGGTTTTGTCCAACTCTTCTCTAAACCCCTAATTTTTCATATTCTTTTTTCCTGATGATGCAGTCACTTGGTGTTGCTATGTCAACCACAACGGCTTTCCTCTGCTTTTCGTCCACCACCACAATGTCCGGTTGGTTTGCCATTACCATTTGGTCTGTCTGTAACTGGAAGTCCCACAGGATCTTGGCTTGGTCATTCTCTACCATCTTTGGAGGTATTTCCCACTTTGACCTTGGGGTTTCCAGCCCATACTCTGCACAGATGTTCCTGAACACTATTCCATCCACTTTGTAAGCTTTCCCTGCCAGCATATTACACCCTGTAGTTATGTGCTGGATTGTCTAAGGGGCCTCTTTGCACAGTCTGCACCTGTATTTATTTATTTTAAAGGCTCTTACAATCACTCTGTTTTTAAATACCATTCAGAATCAATACATACATAGTCTCTATGCACATATAAATAAATATTTACCGTATATCCAGTATAGCACTTCTGGATGGATGCAAACTACATTTCTGTGCTTGTACTTCTGACAATGTAATGACACTCAAGTTGAAGAGAATTCTATAGAAAGTACTTCTAGGCAAAAGCTGTACAATTTATATGCGTCTCTATCTTGGATAAAGCTTGACTGAAGCCTCATGCATTGACTGAGCTACTTCAGCCACCTCAGTGTGCTCTTGGAGTTTCTCTATTATTTAATCCAGTTAGTCATGGTACGAACGCTCAGATTAGACCTGGTTTCATCTGACTGTTCCTTCTGTTTCAAAGCTGTGCTTATATTCCACTGTCGCCATATGCTTTCTTAAAATAAGGGATTGCTCAACTCAACGAAACAGGATTGTCTCACTTTGATACATTGTCAAATAGACTCTTTTTATTCTATTTTTTGTTTACTTGATGTAAAATAAGTCTGAATATATAGATATACCAGGTAATGTAGATCAATATAGACTGAATTTGAACCAGACTAGTTTCAGTTTGATAGAGGAGGGACTTGATGGTAATTTAAGGGTCCATTTGTTATCATTTCAAACTAATTGTGGAATACAAAATAAAAAATATGCTCCACCAAGCTGATCTTTTTCTAACTCACCCTTGGCAAACATGAATGGTACGAGTATACTGACGCTGCAGTAAACACAGTACCACAGAGAGATAACCAAAGCTGTATAATCATATCCTCTTTAATAATTACCTACCAATGTCACTCTGTACAACACTTTACAGCTTCAAATCTGATAGCCATGTTGAAGACATGCGTATTGTCCATGATTATCAGGAGTAACTTTTCAACACATTATAAATTACTAGAATCACTATCTGCCCAGTCATCCCATTTTAATGTCTATCCCTGATCAGCTTGATGTATTTTATAGATCTTTGGGGAGTTGTTTGTTTCCTGTTCTGCCAACTCATGATGAAAAACCATATACGGTAGGTTATATTTTGTACTCAATGCTCCTATATTTCCATTGTTTTTTAGCACAGCAATGCAAATAAAATAATTTTATCTCAGATCCATTGCATAAAACTCAATCATATAAAAAGAAAGCATTTTAAGACCGCAGCTTATGAAAGTAGGGCATGTTGATTTTTTATTTAAGTTTTAATCAACATGACTTGAGTATCCAACCAGATTTATAGCACCTATATGTTTTTTATATTGATTAATAAATTAAGGTTCTTTTTTTTCTTCCCCCAATCAGCACACTAAAATAAGCCCATCTATACAGTCCCACCCTAATTCAGATTATTCCCCCCTGCACCACACAAGGCCAAATGTCCACGTTTACTTTAACTCCTCCCATTTCAAAATCAGATAAAAAGCTGCATGCACAGTCAGTTGGTAGCAGAAATCTTTGTGCTTAACGGGTTGCTTGCTGATTAATAAGCTTAGACTGAACTTAAAAAAAAAAAAAAAATCAAGATGATTCCTGCAGTTACGCTTTTTAATGGAGCAAAGATGCCCATAGTTGGTCTGGGAACCTGGAGGGTAAGACTAAACTTTTCTGTTTAACACTACATGCTTGTCTTTTTGGGTCCCGTCTTTCACAAAATGCCTCTTTTAAGGTTTCAGTGAATTAATCTGTTGTAAATTATCTGTTCATGTATTGAATCTACAGAACTGCTTGAGTAGAATCAAGCAATGCGATTGCTTCACTCCCTCTGGGCTTTGCATTATTTGTGCAAGTAGCTAAATATTAACACGTTACTGCACGCTTGCTGAAGTAAATATATTATAAAGTACACATAGCACATGCTAAAAGTGTGGGTTTTATAGTTTTCCAAGTATGTTAAGTTGAAAGAAACAAACATCTAAAAGATTATAACCATCTTGACATGCATGACAACTACTGCTTTACTTTAAAATTGTAATATCTCTTTTTTGTGCATTTGTGTCCCTTCAGGCTGAACCAGGGAAGGTCAGTGAGGCAGTGAAGGTGGCTATAAGCAATGGCTACAGACACATAGATGGAGCCTTTGTGTATGAGAACGAAGAAGAGGTCGGGGAAGGAATCCGAGCTATGATTGAACAAGGAGTGACCAAAAGAGAGGACTTATTCATCGTCAGTAAAGTAAGCTACATAATAGATGCTTGTTTGAGGGAAGCATTATATATAGAAAAGAAGAATCTTCTGTTAAGCTTTGAATTGTTCCAGTCATTTTAATTATACAGTAGTGCTAATGTACGCCATGCAAATAATTCTTCTAGAACTAGAACTGTTTAGTTTATGTCATAGATATTTCTCAACGTGCTACTATTTATCAAAACTACTATGTTTTTTTTTCAGCAGCTAATTCCTTGCTCTTCCATAATGCCTCAGAGCGCCTTTGCCCTCATTGGGAATAATCAATAAATATTAAAACCAAGTTTTTCAACTGAGAGATCAACCCTTAAGACACTGATTCCAGTATTTTTATATTACATCACATTTAAATAAACAGTATTTCTTTTTTGTTTTTTCTTTTTCTATGAATTTTGACTTTACAAAGCTCATGGGATGAGGTTTTCTGGGTTTTTTGTTTTTTATTTTTCTATGAATTATGACTTTAAAAAGCTCATAATGTCCTAGGATGAGGTTTTCTCTGTTTTTTTTTTTAACATTATGGCCATTCCAGGCCTACAACAAGTTATTCTTGTAACTTTAACATTACATCAAAATTTAAAGTACATCAACAGCTCAAATATAAGAAACAACAGTAAGCACCCAATCAGGTACCATCATTAGCATCATTAGCAACCAGTATTTTCTCAAACTTTAACATGTTTTTCCCAGCGTATTTCTTCAGTATTAAAACTTTGCCAGTACAAACCAGCTTAAACAGATGGAGGATTGGTCACTGCAAACCACTGATCTCTATTTAATCACTCGACTGCTGAAAAAACCTGAGGTCACCTGCTGCTATCTTGGTACTCCATACTCTCACGGAGTCGCTGTATAAAAATGCCTGTAATGTAATCATATAATCCATGCATGTATATTACATAATCAATTTAGCACTTTTGGCACATCATTAGATTGTGTGTGCGTAATAATCTTAATATCCGACTACAGCATTATTATGCTCCATTAACACACTAATTTTGTTGTGATGAATTGAAATATGCTATATTACATGATTTATAGACTTAATTGACTTCATACTAAGTCTTTATTACCTTAAATGAGAGTAATCTGCTGATGTTATGAAACAGCAATTATCTGTCAAAGTGATGACTTTATCTTTATTTCAAAAGTCTTAAGCCCCCCTGAAATTGAGAACATCATCATTGTTCGATGCTGCAGCTCACACATTGTTTACATTCCAACCCAACTAGGGAGTACCAATAAGGCGGCTGGTGACTTCACAGCAAAGTGTACTACCAATGGGCTATCAGCAATCAGGTGAATAAATAGGGATTAGTGCTGCAAACACATAAGAGGGTTGTTAGTTAGCCTAATTTATCAGGTCCATTAACAAAACTCCAAACTAGTTCCTCTGTGGCTTCAAAATAAGACTCTCGAACATAGAAAAAAAACAGAATGTCACAGTTAAACCATAAATTTTCAGATCGGAGGATCATAATTATAACCAATACTAGAAAAATTTCTTATGCTGACAGCAACAACCCAAGCTAGTTATCATTTTTCCATTGATTTGACTGGAGTTTGGAACATATCTTAAGATAGGCTTCATACAAAGAGTCATAAACATCTTGTCTCTATTGAAGAGTTTGTCAATCATGTTTTACTTTGACCAAAACTATTGCAGTCACACAATCTCATGATTGTTTCTGTCTAAGATATTTAATTGTGCAATCAGTTTCATTTTTGTGTCTTTATTGTGTTTTCCAGTTATGGTGCACATTCCATGTCCCATCCCTGGTAAGGGGAGCATGTGAGAAAACTCTAAAAGACCTGAAACTCGACTATGTGGACCTTTACCTGATACACCACCCAGTAGGGATGCAGGTCAGTCATTAATTAACTTGGGTAAATTGTCTTGGTACTGATTACCTTGCAGAAAACTGCATGTTTGCTATTTAACTCTTGTTTTACAGTCTACAACTAATTTCTTTGAAATCTTAAGAACACTTAGTTATTAAATCCACAATAAAGTTGTGAGTCTAATACTTGTTTTTCTCCCTCACAGCCAGGGGATAAGATCTTTCCATCAGATGAGAACAATGAAACACTTACTGATGACAGTTCCTTCTTGGACACATGGGAGGTAATTCAAAAAAAGTCACTGAACGTACAAAACAGACTAGTTATGACTAGAAAATGGTCTGTTTTTAAAACTCCAATGTGTACTTTTTTTTTTTTTTTTAAAGGAAATGGAGAAACTGGTGGATGATGGTTTGGTCAAAGCCATTGGCGTCTCTAACTTCAACAAAGACCAGATTGAAGCTATTCTCAACAAGCCTGGCCTCAAATACAAGCCAGCCAATAACCAGGTGGACAACTTTTTAAATATACAAAATAGTGAAATGTTATGTAATATGTGGAAAATATAAAAAGTAAAGAGAATCTAGATTTATAACACTGTCTCTTTAGATTGAGTGCCACCCATATCTAACCCAAGAGAAGCTGATCAACTACTGCCAATCAAAAGGCGTCACAGTCACAGCTTACAGCCCGCTGGGCTCTCCAGACAGACCCTGGTGAGAGAATCCACCATTTGCAGAACTCACAGAAGTGGCATCAGTCAAGAAAACTAAATAAGCACTACTTGTTTCCTTTAAAAGGGCTTCCTCTGATGACCCCCGTCTTCTAGAGGATGCTACCATCTTGGCTATCGCTAAAAAGTACAACAAGACTCCAGCACAGGTAAGACAGGCACCAACAAACACAAGATCAAAAGTTCTTCTGTTCTTCTGTCAGAGACAAAAATAGGAATGTGACTTTTCAATTTTAAGAACATCATGCTTTTCAATGAAACGCCTCACATTTTACGCAAGATTATAGATTGCAGTAGTACAAACGGCCCTTAGAAGTACGTGAACAAAATAAATATTGTACTCTAGGGATGCTTTGGTCAGTGGTGTACGATGAACTGAGTGAAAACACTCAAACGCTTAAGGCAGCTGATAAACATCTGAGATCACGTGGTAGAGAAACACGCACACACAAAAACAGAAAAAAAGATGTTTGTAGTGTTTTAGGGAGAGAAAGGTTTGAAATTAAAATGCTCTTCTCATATTTCTTGTCTAGGTTCTCATGCGGTTCCACACACAGAGGAATGTGGTAGTCATTGCCAAGTCAGCAACCCCTAGTCGGATTAAGGAGAACTTCCAGGTAAAAGAAGACTTATTAATAAGAAAACTGGGTGTTTCTGACTCATCATTTATCCGATCTGAATAGTTTAAGATGGATATATTGGGTGATTTTCTTGTTAGTTGAATAGTGTTACAGGAATTTACAGTAGGATCGGTAATCCCAGCAGTTGGGTCTACTTTTAATATTGACTGCTTCTTTTTTGTAGTTATTTGACTTTGAATTAAGCCAAGATGACATGAAGACTATCCTGGGTTTGAACAAGAACTGGAGAGGATTTCCAGCATCGTGGTGAGTGGAAATAACCAAATATATAGTCTTATATACTCTTGAAATTTTTCACCTTTTTTCATGTTACTACTAAAACCATAAATGTATTTAATAGAAAACCATCTGAACACAGCACACAGGGTTAAAAAAGAGTTGAAGTGAAATTTAGTTGGGTTTTTAAAAAATCTTTGGAAATCTTAAACAGCACCCGCAGATTTAGAATGTAAGTTGAAAAACAATGGTACAACCCATCATGAAATTATACATGGTGGTGGCAGCATCATGCTGCGTGAAAAGCTCCACTGTAAACATTTTTAAACTAGGGCTGAAAACAATTATAGGATTAACCAATTATTGAAGTAATAGTCAACTAATTTAGTAATCGATTAATTGTTAATTGGAGTATAGAGACTCTAAAACACAGCTTTAGCTGAGAGAGCGACCCACTTAGAGCAGTAACTATACCACAATTGTAAGAAAAAAAATGTAAACATTTTGCATTTAAGACAAAAAAAAATAAAAATTGTCAAGCTCCTCTATCCATAACTCTGACAAGTTTTAGTTTCCCCTCGTTTGATTTCATCAAAGTCTTCTTTAAGGAACCTTTTGCTGATTATTAATTGGAAATATAATCAACAGATTAATGGATTTGCAAAATAATTGTTAGTTGCAGCCCTAATTAAAACAAATTACAAGCCACTTTATCTTTTATATCTCACAAGGTAATAATTAGTACTACAGCAATTGCAATTTAATTGCAACCATCAGATCTTTAACCTTTTATTTTTGATCAAATTCCACTAATTGGTGCATTCTTCAGATAATCAGAGGATGAAAAAAAATGTCTCAATGGAGTTTAGAGCCAGAGTAAATAGTTGCTGCTGGTCTTTCTTTGTAGTGTCACATCTTTTCAGCAATCCTTTGTCATCCTCTTACGGTTCATAGTGGTTTTGAGTCATGACTCTCCCAATATGGATCAGGGGCGTAACATTGAGAAATCAATTTTAACCCCTATGTCAATGTCAGCTGATCATTCACGGCATTCTGTCTGTTCAGTTTGGTTTCAATCAAGCTATTTTTCAAAGCCAAATAGGTAAAAACTAAACTCTAAGTGTGCAAAGCTAAAATCAACACAATCCAAATACCTTGCAACTGTACTTGTGGATCAAAACAATATAAACATGTATACATAGTGACGAAAAGTGGAAAGTTCTTAGAGCTTGGATAATGTGCAAAAGAAACGGTATAAAGGGATTGAAATGTCTAATGTTCCTTTTGCTTTTTACCCCAACAGGGCAGCAAAGCATAAAGACTACCCTTTCAATACAGAATACTAAACAAAATGAAGACCGTTTAATTCATCAACCTTCAATGTGATAATTGCCCTTCTGTGGAGCCTGCAGGAAATCCTACATAAATGTGTTGGTGGATCAGTTAAAAGTTAAATATCTCTGATATCCTGATTTTGAAAGCAAATAGAAATAAAAAGGAGGTAAAGGGTTTAAATAGAGGCTGATCAAATCATGTTGATTAAACAAAATGCAACAACTAAAAGTAACCAGAATGTAAAATTTCTTTGTGTTTTTTTATACTGACAATTGTATTTTTTCCCTGTTTACCAAATTTGTTGAGTAAAGACTCCCATTTTGAGATGTGATATTAAGGTCTACGAGTCTTTTTTTTTCACTTGACAACTCAGCACCTCACAGAAATGAGACAATCAGTCCTCTTGGGCTTTCAAACAGTCAAACATTAACCTTGAGGTACATTTCTGTTACTACTACAAATAGAAAACTGCATTAACCTGTGACACATTACTTTATTGTACTGCTTCACACGGAACATTACAGGTAAAAGCTGGAGACTGATTCGAAAATGTACAAGACTACACAGCACCATACGATTCATCATAAGCTTTTAGACTGTAACATGATCAGTTTTCCAGTGGTAAATGCTTGGAAATTAGCAAATTAGCTGCAAGATGCAGTTTGAAGGAGTGTATTTAAATGCGAAAGGGTCCTGTTAAGAAAGACCCGTCCTTTCAACAAAAAATTGATTTCACTTGTCCACTTATTTAAAAAAATAAATGTCACTCATATATTTAGAAAGAGGCACTTATTGCCCACAAGTAAAATGATTCAGTAACTTAATGCCTCAATGAATGCAAGCTGTAACAGCAGAACTTAATATGCAATAAAACAAAGAGACAGAAACAGAGCGGGGCAAAAGAAAACAAATCACACCCCAAACGAAAACTCTTCAGGAAACAGAGTGGGTCCAGAGAGTATGGAAGAATAACCGGACTTGGTTTCCTTTCAGAATTCAGTGTTAAATGGGTAGTCCTTGTGCTTTATACCCCTACAGAAAAAAAAAAAGAAACCATTAACATATATTAGCAAACACCTTATTTAAAAGCCATTTTCTAACTGATTGATTTAATGATAAAGACTAATTGTACCTTTAGTAATATTTGACACTAGCGTCAATGTTGATGCTCTACATATGTGCTTTTTCTCAGTTAAAATACATCAAATTGAGGTAAATTAATATTTTCATTACAATTAGTCTGTAACTGTTTAATATGAACCTCTTCTAAAATTTTCAGAAGTGGGAAGGGTCTGCTGTCTATCATAGAACCAGTTAAGAAGAAAGAAGCGCCACATTTTTTAACATACTAGTGCTAAGCTGTTATGTCCTTTTGAGTAAATCTCAGCGTTTTTGACACCTTAAATCATAAAAACTTCAGGTACTTTTTCCAAGTTTGCAATGAACTGGTTCTGTTAGGGGACTGAATAAGGCCGTTTCTCCAAATTTGTACTCGTGAAACGTCATCAGCCTCAGCCCTTGTACTGCTCTAATTCGCAAAAACACACACAGTCCCCGGATGTTGCTCTTACTTCTTCCTCTTTACAGAGCATGCATTAGAGCAGACGTGTGTTTCTGACAGCTGTCCCAGCATGCACTGCGGCAGCAGCTTTCAGTGGAGCGCTCACAGAGCTCAGATTAAAAGTTTTCTTTTCTGTTTCTGTTATTCTATAAAAATAAGTTTTAAGATAATTTTTAGGTGAGAATATTATACTTTTAAGCTTCACTCTATGGCCCATTTGATGATTTAGGCGTAATTGAAAAGAAAAAAAAAAAAAAAAGTTCTGCTGTTGAGAGGTAACCGTTGCAATCAGCGTTCCTCTGAGGCTAAGCGCAGCGAGGGCTAACCTTAGGCTTAGCCTTAGCACTGGCTCTGATGGAGGTTTTTTTTTTATTTTATTTGGCTAAATGTCGATATGATTTGTGTTTATCTGACGGTGTTAGTTATCATTTCCCCAATAAATGAAAAAAGTAAGAATGTATCATTATCTAGAGACTATTATTAATAGGTGAAATGCAACTCCAAACGATACGAGCATGTGGTGATTTCACGATTACACATCTGTTCCAATTGACCCATATTTATTCTGCATGCCCCCGTTCTCCCCGAGTCCATACTTTCTTGCGTCTTGTCAAGTACATACTTGCTTTCTTGTACTGTACTTGCTTACTTGTGAATTGAGAAACGGGCCTAAATGTCCAGCTGGTTCTGATACTTAAATAAGTCAATAAAGTTTGAATTCGAATATTGAAATATTGTTCCATTTACTTCTAAGAGTCTCACAGACCCTTGTAAGTTTTAGCTATTCCATTTCCTTACAGAAGATTTATCCTAAGTAGTTTGTAGCAGAGATATAGACATTTTGTAAAACATAATAAGAGTTTGTTTCTTTAATTTTGTTCTTCCCTATTACTAGACTTCCTCCTTAGTTTGTTGGGGATGGTTTGGATCTGATCCAAACAGTGTAAAGAAGCCTTTTTTTTTTTATTTTGATAGTGATTGACTGGCAATAATTAGTAACCTGTTGGATTCTGTAGATTAAAACCATTCCTACAAAACCTAGAGTATATTATCTACTTTTTAGGTTTAGTTAACTCTAAAAATATCACAGCATCTGTATTTTGAATGGGTTTAATATTATGAATAGGTTAGTTTTAAATGACATTAAAATAAGATGACCATCAACATATTTTAAAACAGCCATCACTTAAGGGAAATATTAAATTAAATATTAATTTAAACCAATCTGAAAATAATCTAGAAAAAGCATAAAAAAAAAAAAAAGTGTGTTTATAATTTTTTTTTTTTACCAATGCATGGGACAGGCTCTCCAGTTCCGGTTGAATCCTAATATGGTTTTCATTTCCTCCTGGGTTAGTTCAAAGTCAAACACCTGATAAAAATAAATAAATAAAAAGTTTTTTTGGTTTCATTCAGCAAAAAACAAACAAAAAAACAAACAAACTAATGAATACATTGAAAAATGCAAAGTATATGCTGCTGAAAGGATAACCTGGAAATTCTCTTGAATGCGTTGCGGAGTGATGGACTTTGGGATCACGATCACGTTTCTTTGGATGTGGAAGCGGATCAGGACCTGGACAGAAAAAAAGAAGGCAGGAAAGAGGAAGGATGTTAAGCTATGAATGTCAGAGCCAAACAAATTGAATAAATTCCACTTCTTGTCTGATTAAAGATTACTGATGCATGGAAAGAACAACTGGAGAAACTTAAATGTTTTCTGTACCTGAGCAGGAGTCTTTTTATGCTTGTCAGCGATGGCTTTAATGCTGGGATCATCCAAAAGTGAAGGGTCTTCTGGTTTAGCCCTGAAAATCAATTTTAAAGGGTCAAATATAGCTTTTTAACAGCAATTGAAACAAAAGTACCAGAAACATGAAACAATTTAGTAACCAAGAAAACAAATCCTTTAGTTGCTGAAGTTTAGTTGAAAAGTTTCAAAATTTCAAGGACAAGGAGGAACAACAGTCACATGCTGAGGCTAACCAGAGGGAAATGACAAGCCAAATATCATAGATAAATATAGAAATAGAAAATCTTAGTTTAATTACAACATTATGTGATAAAATTATTCATTATTATCGCTTCTGTCTCTTTTGAAACCACTTGCTAACGTGGGTCAACATTATCACTGAATACATTATATGCACTGAAATAACTGATTAAATGTTTCTTTTCCAAATAAAATTTTTTTTTGTTCTTTTATGAAGGTCGTGTTTCACAATGAAACAATTCTGTTACGTTTACAAGTTACAATTTTCTCGAGAAACACCACATTAAGCAAACTGCAACAAAAACTCTTCGTCAAGGTTTCTCGTCATCTCTCGGCTGATACGATTTTTTGATAATTCTGAACATGGCTTGTTTTTCCACAAGAATTGCAATTCTTTGAGCACAGCTTGAACCTAAAGAGATTTATTTTTCATTATTTTCATAGAAACAGTGTTTTGCTGTGTATGAAGGGGTAAACATTTGTCTAAAATTCTCACTAACTAGAGCATCCAACTCTGTCTATGTTCCCGATTGGGTTTCATCTTTAAAACATTTTCAAGGTTAGAATTTTTTACCCCACAACATTTTATAATATTTGGAGGTTTATGATGGAACCCCTAAATCATGTTTAACCCATTTTTGAATGATGGCGGAAGGGGGTTGATTTAATCTCATTTAAACAATAGTTAGAAAGAAATGGCAGCAAAAAAAAAAAAAAAGTGTTTTCAAATGACTGCACAGCCCGAACCAGTCGGCTAATTTTAGCATTGCTTTTATGCAACCATGATGTCCAACATACCAGGGTCTATCAGGGGACCCAAGAGGGCTGTAAGCTGTAACTGTGATGCCCTGGGAGTGGCAGTAGTTTATAAGCTTCTCCTGGGTCAGGTATGGGTGGCACTCGACCTATAGAAAAAAAATAGATAACATTCTGAAACAAAAGCACATGTTAGCAAGAGCTAAAGGTACAGAGCTGTGCAAACATAGGTAGTCTGGAAGACGTGCCGAGGAAAAAGGACTCATCTGCATCCTGAACATATTACATTACAGCCATAAAGAGCTGCATGAAAAGGTAAAAGCGAAGTTGGAAACGTTAACAATGTGCATATTGTGAGCTAATTTCGTCTCCTGGACACCCTCTGCAGAGGTTTCTGCCTTCATAGTCGAGCCAATCGATTGCCCCCCCTACAGCCGTTCTGCAGGTGGGATGAAGAGAGGGAACGGATGGTTGCTAGTATGACTAGCTAGTTAAATGTGTAGCCCCATTTCTTCTCCATGACACCTAAAGCACCTGTCAATGTGGTGCAAAGTGTGGCTCTGACGCTACTGGTCCTCATAGCTGCCTGCTTGGAGCAGCTCAGTTCACAGTTCAGCTGTCCGGGAGTCTGAGTCTTCAAAATGAGAAAAACCCAAGGTGTTTTGTAGATCAAAATGTTATTTTTTTTAAAACTATGAACATGACATACCCATATCTTGAAAGTAGTCACAGCAGCTGACACAAAATGAATGAATGGAATATAATCTGGAGTAAAGCTTTTACATAAAAAAGTGGAAAAAATGAAGCAATACTTTCTGGATGCACTGAATCTATTCATATAGTGCTACAGATATCTTAATATTAGATACTTATTGCAGCTTTTTCTAACAATGCCTAACCATATTCTGTAGTATACAAAACATTTTGTATTTCGTGCAAAACAATTTGTTTTGGACTCAGGTGAATGAAGTCCATAGGTTTACTGTGTTTTCTAAAAGGTTTGTTGCAAACCAATCTTGCCGTTTAGAACTTTGAACAAAAGCGGTCTTCATACCACTCTTCCACAAAGGTTAGATGTTTAGATAAAGGCTGCACAACTTTCCTCCTTTGAACTGGTGTTATATTGCAATTTGCTGCACTGGATTTTATGGATCATCATCGATGTAAAGAGGGTTGAACATAGGAGACACCTTATTTGTAAGAAAACTCAATAAAGCCAGTCAATGAATTATTTCCTTTTAACTGAAAACAAACTGCTTGTCTTGGTCCATTATGTAGAATTGCAATAAAATACATTTCTGATTGTGGCAAAATGTAGACAAGTTTTAAGAATATAACACATGGATTCATTGTATCTGAAGCAGCACAGAGGACCTTTTGTCTGGTATAAATCAGGACGAAAGTCAGATGAAGTAAAAAGGGACCCTTTAATCTTATAAGAAAGCACAAGCAGGACAGTGATTGTGAACAATGGCTCTCAAGAAGCACAAAAACATAAGGTCACCTCAGCTAAATGGTGGAGCCTGAGGGTAAGCTGCTGTTGTGCATTAAAAATTAGCAGGAGATTTATTTCTTTGAGAAGATTAGAAAAGACAGATACTGCATTTACTCGGATCCCTTCGGAGAGAAACAAACTGGACATGTTAGCCTTTGTTTGAGCATCTGGTGCAACATCTTCTCCCAATGTTTGCTGACTGTTAATGAAGAGGCTAAGGTAAAGGCAAGCTCACCTGGTTGTTGGCAGGTTTATACTTCAGGCCTGGCTTGTTAAGGATGGCTTCGATTTGGTCCTTGTTGAAGTTGGAAATGCCAATAGCTTTGACCAAACCAGCATCGACCAGCTCTTCCATCCCCTTTAGCATAAATAACAGGAGAAAATACAAAATAATTACTTGTTTTATTATAAATGACAGTACAAAGCCATATAATGTTCCAAATAAAAAAAAAAAAAAAAGCAGTACAGGGAACCCTCGTTTTTCGCGGGGTTTACGTTCCCAAAAGAACAGTAACCTTTACTGATTTAACAAGTATTATCTTGGTTTTACCCCTTGTCCTTAATGATTGCTTTAAATGTATTGTTCACAAGCGCTTCTGATCCGGTGGTATTCACAGAGGGGGTCTCTCCGTGCAGAGAAACATTTGTTTTAAATTTCAAACCAGCCCTTGCTAGCATTAAATGCACTCGGGGCTGCGTTAACAACACCCCATGGTTCGGTATCTGCATCCTCCTCCACTTCCCTGTCATGTTATTGTCAGTTCGATACAGTGTTCTAGCTTTTGTGCAGGTAACGTTCGTATCCAGTGTAATGTTCTTTTTTCTGCAGTCATTAATCAACAAAGCTAATGGAGACTCCACCCTTACCACAATGTTATTGCCACAATTTGCAACCCTTTTTGCATCCTTAATAAAACTTGCTGCTGTCGAACGGAAGATTCATCAATTCCATAATGGCATCATACAATTGCATAGCTTCTACCTTCCTTTAACATGTCCAGAAGTTTAGCTTTTTTCTGCGATAGTTACCATCTTGCTCTGCCTTTTGGGCCCATCCAAAAATAATTGCTTGATTAAATTTGGCAAGCTGCTTTCGTAGATGTATATTAAAATATTAAACTGTAAGGTGAAGAAGAAGTGTGGAGACTGTTTAGCCAATCAGAATGCAGAAAACATTTCACAATTCAAATCCATATGCTAGCATTATAATATAAGCTAGTTTTTTATTAGGAAACTTGCTCAAATTAAGGACATATTTTTTTATTTAACTTTTTTTATTCGCATTCTGGTTCCTTCTCTTCTCCAGACAAAAGGGCCACTCCTAGGAGCAGGACCATCTCTACGTAAACTGTCATATTAAAACACGCACAGCTCTTTTTTTTTTTTACTCAAATTGATTTCATACCTTCTCTTGAAATGCAATATTAGTCTATTTGGGATGTGATGTTTGCCTTTCATCCAACCACATTATGTGTTACCAGCTTACCTCCCACGTCTCCAGGAAGTGAGTGGTATCGGTGATGGTCTCTCCATTACTATCCAGGGGAAAAAGATCGCCACCAGACTGTATAATGAAGAAAAAAAATATTTAGCAACTTTTAGAGAAACTTTTCTATGGATCAGTTAGTGTAAATTAACCTACAATGAATTTATGACACAATTTAGGCAGCTTATAGAGATGTAGAAGCATTCACATGTAAACATGTTTTTTTACCTTAAAGCCCATGGGCCAGTGAACAAGATAAAGATCTAGGTAGTCCAGTTTAAGATCACTAAGTGTTTTCTCACAGGCCTTTCTCACAAGGGACTTCTCATGGAAAGTGCACCACAGCTAAGAAACAAATACATGTCGAGATTAGCAACATTTACAGTGCATCCAAGTCTTTGTGGCTACATTCACACTGCAGGCCTTGATCCTCTATACCGATTTTTTGCATTCCCATTCAGATTTCCAAATATATGCGACTTGAATGTGATCTCCTGTCTGAACTGCAGTCAAAGACGCAAGTGTCCTGCATGCGCAATAGGGGGCGCGATGACGTCACAGGTCAGCGTGCTTTGTGTTTACGGATGTTAACATGGATGGTAGTGCTGGAGCGCATCTAGTGATCTTTCCCAACCACAAAAACACAATCTTCTCAAGATGGTTAAACATAAATACTGCTCTCCGCATCATCGTCCGCCATGGTTGTTGTTTTTCTTGCCACTTTTTCATAGCAAGACCCAGAATAGTGACCTTTGTCGGGTATTAATGCATTCAGGTCGGATGAATGCGACCTGACTGTTTAGACACAGGTCGCATTTGAAAAGATCAGATTTGTATCGGATTCAGGACCACAGAGCCAAGTGATCTGGGTCACACTGGGAAAAAAAACAAAAAAAACCGGATCTGTTTTGTTCAGACAGTCATGAAAAGACCAGATACAGTTCGGATATGTGCAAAAACATCGACACAGGTCGCATTTGAAAAGATCGGATTTGTATCGGATTCAGGACCACAGAGCCAAGTGATCTGGGTCACACTGGGAAAAAAAACAAAAAAAACCGGATCTGTTTTGTTCAGACAGTCATGAAAAGACCAGATACAGTTCGGATATGTGCAAAAACATCGACTTTGGATCACTTCAGGCTGCAGTGTGAACATAGCCTTAGTAGCAGATATCAAACTACTTGCAATGAAACCTTACCTTGCTGACTACAAAGAGATCCTCTCTTTTGACCACGCCCTCTTTGATCATGGCATTGACCCCTTCGCCCACCTCCGCCTCGTTTTGGTAGACGAACGCCCCGTCGATGTGCCTGTAACCAGCTGCAATGGCTGCTTTCACGGCCTCTGTGACCTTGCCGGGTGGAGACTATCAGGAAAATAAATAAATAAATATAAACAACTGGTAGGCACAAGTTCCTCCCCTCCCACTATTTTTGACTGATTCATAATTTAGACCCATTTTACTCTTTAAAATATGTTTTTCTAACTCAAAACATGAAAAAAAAAACATATGAAACCTGCAAAAATGACAAACTAGACAAAAGAAGAAGGAAAAACAATAAATGGACCAATAGTTGGTAATAAAATGCATAGAAAAACAGCTAAATGGAGCAATGGATGGTAGAGAAAATAATTCATATGGATGAATAGGGGAAGGATTGATGAATAGATAGTAGGATTGTAGGATGAAAAGAAAAAAAATAGACTAAAGGATGATAAAAAATGTACAAGAGGCTAAATTGATTATTTACACCAAGGGAAACAAGATCAAGTACAGAAATCCTGACATTTTTTTTTATTCCTACTCCTTTTCCTCATACCAGAACTGGATTGTCTGGCTGTGATCCTGCAAACTAGTCATGTGTTGTTTCTAAAACCAGCAGATTGTTTTAATTCAGGCTTTTTAACCGTTAGAAAGAGGAAACGGGCTCATGATCGTCTTTTCTTTTAATGCAGTCTGGATCAAAATAGCTGTGATTTTGCACAGTCGCAGTTAACAACTTTTAACTTTTCTTACAGTTTTACTTTCAGATTTTGCACACGGCCTGCATGGAGTCAATATTAGCCACGGTCAGTGCAAGACAATTCATCAAGATGCGCTCTATAAAAGCAAGAATAATCACAAATATGCAGTAAAAATACACTTTAAACACTTAATATGTTTAAAAACACATTCAACTTGAGTAAAACAAACTTTTTTGTTTTGCCTTGTGCGGTGAATTATCTTCGTTATACTCAGCTAGCTTACTAAAACCAGGTAAACGTTTGGCTAAAGCAGATGCAAGTTATTTATTTAGTTACTTACCTTCCATGTGCCCAGTCCCAGAATGGGCATTTGAGCGCCTGAGTTGAGCTTCACTGTAGTTGCCATTGTAGCAGACGTCGAAGGACAGATCCTGAATGTGAGCGTTAGAGCAGAGCAGAGAGCTAAATGCGAGCATCGGAGATCGATTATTAATGCCTGTTGGGAGACTTCATTGGAGCTTAGCCCCGCCACGCGCTGCTGTCACTCTATTTATTATTAGTTAGCGGGAATAGAAATATGGAGGACCAATCCTGCCGTAATTAAAAATAAATACAGAAATAAATAAATGCAATAAACAAATAAATGTAGGTACAAATTAAATTATATAGTGAGACATAAATATATATTTCTCTTTTAATTAGATTATTTGTTTATTTGCCTTTGTAATACCGTAAATTCTCTAATATTGGCCTGTATTCCAATAGCGGCCGGGTCTCTAATAATGGCCGGTCTCGCTGTTAGAGGAGGTAAATAATGGCCGGTCTCTAATACAGGCCGGGGCTATAAATGTTTTTTCTGGGCATACCTCAACATTATACTTGTGGTAGTAACATACAAGTACCACAGCCCTGCGCAGCTGGACGACAGACCGACTGCTGCCCGTCTGCGCGAGGAAGAGAACAGACACGCAGCAGAACATGAGGAGCAGTGCACTTGAGTGAAATAAAGGCCCGGGCCTATATTAGAGAATTTACGGTAATTACCTTATTTATTTATCAACTTTATTTATTACTTATTATTACTTAATATTTATTATATTTAATCATGATATTAAAAAATAAATAAAAAAGGGGGAAAAAATGTTAGATCTGTAAATATTTACAGTCATATGTTTATATATTATTATTATTATTATTTTTTTTTGCACTATTTTTCCAAGGCTGTACTTTTAAAAAAAGATGAAATTGTCCAGAGAGAGCTGTTCAAAATTTCTTTATGTTATACACAATGACAAATACAATATGTCTAAGTCCTCTTATTTCTTTATGTGCAAGTTATAACATTTTTGTCTGGTTTATTCTTTCCTTTGTATTTTTTTACCGTCTTTATTTTTTCAATACTATTCATTTGTGCCTGTCGTATTTACATTTCTGATGCATTTGTGCCTCATTTTGCAAATGAGGAGGGGTGTGTCGTAAGGGCTTAACTTCTCTCCTTAACTGCTGGTTAGCAGCCACCGGCAACAGTCAGACAGTGATGGCTACCATAGAATGAAGTTGTCAGTGGGCTAGAACATTTAGCAACTGTTTTTGAAAACAATGCTAATATTTGGGTTTCTGAAAAGGCTGCTGACTGGACTGGCATTCGAACCGAGCAATCAGCTCCGAATGAAATAGGTATTTTATTTTGTCTTTATAATTGTATTGATGTTACAGAACTTCTTTAAATCTACAACCTTACTGACAGTTTGAGAGCTTTAAGGTCATTACAGATACATAAAAAAAAAATTTAATAAATAAACTTGTATTCAAGGACAAAGACACATGTAGGATATGTAAATAGATTATATATATATATATATATATATATATATATATATATATATATATATATATATATATATATATAGCCACACTATCCATGCAGAAAGTGCCTATAGGGCCTAGACTTGGAATCAACCACAGTTTCTTTAAATGAGCAGTGCTACAAACAGCTTGGTCGTTGATTTTTTTCTGTGAATAAAATGTGGGAGAACTGCAAACCTATCAAGACAGAGTTGTCGATATTAAAATGCGGAGGAAAAAGTTAATAATTCACAGATCGAACAAGAGAACCATGAGGATATTGGAGGAGCTGCAGAGATCTACATGTCAGGTGAGGGAAATTAATGATAGGAAAGTTATTTGCTGTATAGCTTACGTATTGGGCTTGTATGGAAGAGTATTATTTGTTTTTCCATGTAATTAAACACCTCCGGAACAAGCAGTTGCCCTCTAACAGAGGGTGGAGGAGTGATACTCTTAAGCACAATGTCCTGCGTAATTTGATATTGTAAATAATAGCATCATTTACATAAATATAATAAAATACAAAAATAAATTGGTATGCTGTAATTAAATATAAAAAATACAGAATTAATGCTCTTTTCAGGACTAGGTTTGTCTGGTCTCCTATTTGAATAGAGATAACTACTAAACCCACTCAACGTATTCATTAAGCTATGTTTTAATATTATGTGGAACTGTAATTGATTAAGAGTATACTTATACTTGGGGATTTTTCAGCAAATTTAGGTGGTAAATGACCAAAACACTTTTACCGTACATGTGGAAGACCAAACTACATTGTCTTTTGGCATGAAGGAATCTATCGATACGCTCCATTCTTTTTTCTAAGGCCTTCCGGTTCTTCTCATAAACTTGTAAGGCCAAGTTCAACTAAATAAACTGATTAATCGCCTTTATCCGCATACGACACAGCCAATCAGCTTTCAACCACGCCTCCACGAAAGCCAATCAGCATCCAAAGTTCATGTCAAATGGCCTACGATCCGCAACCTGTCTGCTACTGAGTGCGCAGGCAGTGGTTGCGCTGTGCGACTTCATTCAGATGACCTTGTTTCAACCCACCTCCACTTCCTCCTCCACCATCGTATCTAAAACTTCATCAGAGTTTCATTCCTCCCGGACTCTTACTGTATTCCGGATCTCATTTCAACCGGTCCGGCAGAAGACCGCCATGTTGAGCCTGGTTTCTTCCCAATAGGGAGTTTTTCCTCTCCACTGTCTCTTCATGCTTGCTCATCATGGACAGGTTCTCTCAACCTGTGTTATCCAAGCTGGACTTCCATCTTCCAGGTCCCTGAGTGAAGCTCTAGTATCAGCTCACACAATCCACTGGATCTCCCCATAAAGCTCACCATACCGTCACACCAACCAGCAGTCTACAGACTGACCAACTTAATATATCTCCACTCCACCATTAGTTCAGACCTGGGGGGAAACAGCCCTGTTCTTTACTACTGTCCATGCATATCAATCAAAATTCAGCGCCAAAGACTAATGTAACTGTGAACTATCAATAAATTTCTTCTGGTTGTCTTTTCTCTCCATGTGAATTTTTTAGATTGAAATGAGGCAAGAACAGTGGAGCTGCAATGAATGGCTGAGTCCAAAGCTAACAGGATCCAAACATTATACAAGATAGTCTATCATACCTTTAATTCAGACTTCCCTTACAGTTGCAGGCAAACTCTTGCAACCAATGCCACTGTCTCCCAACTAAGCTTTAATTTAAAAAAAAGCTATCAAGAGAGTGCCTCCACATTGGTGATCAAAGTTGGTCAGGATTTAAGAATTAATCTACTTTTCTATTTAACAGGTAAAATGTCAAATATTTTGCTTTATAATCCTTTGTTATGGTCATGCCTAAATATTTTGTGTCTTCTTTCACTGGAATCCCATATACTGTAAGGTGCTTCATTGATAATCATGTATTATTACTAACTCGCATTTTTATATCTTTAAGTATAATCCACAGGCTTTAGCAAAATGTACCTTTCTTATAAAAAAATGGTATATAATCAGCGAGCTGAGTTATCATCAGGGGATAATCAAATATATTCAATAGCTCAATATCTTGGCTTTTCTTGGGAAAGATCGCCAATAGCTCTGCAGCTGAAATAAATAATAAACGAGAGCCTTTTGCAGTTCAGATCTTCTGGTTGCTTGAGAGAGAGGGACTGAACTATTCATATCCATTGAAGGAAACATGTTTATAATCTTTCACCAAAGCCAATTACTCTAAGTATTTAATTAGGAAGGGATGCTTTATAGAGTCAAAAACTTTGCAGAAAATAAAACAAAGCTTTATCTTCAATAAACCAATTATAGTTTATTAAGTTAAGAATCAACTTAATATTGTTGTGTTTGGACCTATAATTAAACAATCCTCATCTCCTCACCATCTGGTACTCTGGTGCCACCACCAAGGACAAGGGCAGACCGCAGCATTTCACCTGGTCTGCAGAGAAAGTGATTGGCTGCAATCTTCCATCTCCCTAGGAACTGTACGCTTCCAGGACTCTGAGGCGTACAGGGATGGTTGTGGCTGATCCCTCACACCCCAGCCACAAACTATTTCAGACAATTCCCTCTGCCATGAGACTGGGGACCAAAACCTCACGCCACAAGAACAGTTTCTTCCCATCCGCTACCAGCCCTTTCAACAAGGTCTAGAGACCCCAGCGACACTGACACTGCCTCTCTCCCTCACCCGTTCAGGACCTAGAAGCTACACCAGCGTAGCATCTACAGACCTCCTGGGTTACATTAACGCACAGTCAACTGTGTATATAGTATAAACGTAGCTATATACTATATATTGTATATAATGTATTGTTTGTTTTATGTTGTAGATTTCTCTGCTTGGGATCACAAGGGGACACAAAAGTTGAGAAAGTCTGAGAATTGTATTTGAGTTTGAGATATTTTATGAAACTTGATAGGAGACTTAATCAAGCTTTTGTACATTTTATTGCTCCAGACAAAAAAGAGACATAGGAGAAATAAACCTTAGTCTCATATTTGTGTCACACATTTGTCTAGGAGAAGTACATGATCTCATTTCAGATTTTCCTTTCCTCTGGGCTGTTTTATTAGTTTTTATGTACATTTTGTGTTTGGTTAAGATTCTTTCCCATGTCTATCTGTTCTGGTCATTACTTGAATCCCCCAGCACCCTCTGCTTTCACTGGTCTCATCTGTACATCACTTTCCACCTGACTACTTTTAATTGTTTTTGTCATGCCTTTTTCACGCTCCCTTTATTTATGTTCTTGGGTTTTCACTGATCTTTCACTTGTTAGTCACATTTCTCTGTTTGGGCAACTATTTCTTTACCCGAGTTCCCTTCTCAGATCGTCTTGTGCCAGCATGCAAGTTTTGAGTTTTTTCCACAACAATTATAAGTCTAGTCATGCTCTTTCCTACTTTCTGTCTATACTTTGGTCCAACTTTAAACAAACCATTGCAGACAGAAAACAAAAAAACAAAAGACTTGCAACAAGACACCAATCATTAACATATAACCAGAGTTAAAATAAAACATTTTTTGTCAAAACCTTATCTTCTATTGCAAAACCTAAAAAAGGCCTTTGAACCTATACACACAATCCATCCAGATTGAGTGCATTTGAGCCATTTCAGAAAGAACAATGC